GGTCTGGATGATCTGCAATGTATGGAGGCAGGAGATGGGGAGGCCGACAAGCACGGAGATTGTGAGGTTGAGTCTGGATGTTATGAATGCATCTATGAGGGTCTCGGCGGCCTGCAGTGTTAGACAGTGGCGGAGCTGGGTGATGTTGTGGAGGTGGGGGAAGGCAAAGCTGGTCATGGCATGGATATGAGGTAGAAAGGATAGTTGAGGGTCAATCAAGATGCCTAGGTTCGAACTGGTAGTAAGGTGGAGTGTGCATCCATGGACCAAACCGTCTCATATGGTGTCCCTCAGGGTTCTCTCCTCGGTCCCCTCCTCTTCACCCTCTACATGCTCCCCTTTGGTGACATCATCCGCAGACATGGGGTAAATTTCTATATGTATGTGGATGTCACGCAACTCTATCTCTCTGCCTCCACCCTCAACTCCAGGATCACTGGCGTCTTGACCGACTGCCTGTCCAACATCAAGTCCTGGACGAGCGACAACTTTCTCCAACTGAACATCAGTAAGACTGAGGCCCTTCTGATTGGCTCGCCCAGCGCCTCCGCACCTCGGGTCTTTTCCCCCCACATCCACGCCATGGCCGGCACTGCCTACCACTGTCTTCCCAACATTGCCAGACTCTGCCACTGCCTCACCCCTCAGGCTGCCGAAACTTCACCCACACATTCATCACATCAAGGTTCGATTATGGAAAATCCCTCCTCATCGGCCTTCCCAACTCTTCCCTTCACAACCTGCAGATCATCCAAAACTGTGCAGCTCGTGTACTCTCGCGCATCAGGCTTTGTGACCCCATCACTCTCACCCTCGCCCGACTCCACTGGCTCCCCATCCCTCAGAGGATCGAATTCAAGATCCTCATCCTCACTTTCAAGACCATCCATGGCCTTGCCACTTCCTACCTCTCTGACCTGCTGACTCCCTACCAACCTGCCCGCTCCCTCCGTTCGGTGGGCTCCGGCCTGCTCCATGTCTCCTGCCCGACCCGCCCTATCATCAGTGGCCGGGCTTTCAGCCTCTCCGGAACTCCATCCCACAGTCCCTTCGCCTCACTTCCTCCCTTGCTTCCTTCAAGGCTGGTCTCAAGACCCTCCACTTCGATTGTGCCTTCAGTCACCCTCCCACCTCTTTGCCTTCCCTCACCCCTACCCCACCCCTCCCCCATGCTCGGGTCCTGATCCCTGACTGTCCAGTGCCTTGGGACATCCTCCCGATGTGAAAGGCACTCTATAAATATAATTTTGTTGTTGTTGTTGTTGGATGGTGATGCTGTCAGCACCTGAGGTGTGGAGGCGCCGACGGGACCCAATCAGGAGGGCCTTGGTTTTGTTGATGTTCAAGGAATTGCATACAAAACATTGGGTTAAAACCGTGGAATTTGCTATCTCGATTTACTGATGGGAATTCCAAGTTGTAAATCGTAACTCCTGCCAATAACCCGAAGTTACTTACTCCAACCAGCAGGAACTTCACTCCAGGTAGCTGGAAGTAGATTCTGGAGTTGACGTGACAGAGTCACTAATAGGGAATCCTAGTGGTAAAAACACATTTTCAATCCTCAGCTGTGTGATCATTAGACTCCCCACGCCTCCCCTCTCCCCTCCCCCCCATCATATATATATATAAATTATGTTTGGGGGCTATCATGCTGTTTCTGACTTATCATGTCATTGAGACTTCTCAAAGCGCTTTGATGTGCCTTGAGACGTTTTAATGACGGCTAAGTTTCAAATGGATGATAATATCAAATGCAGGGTTATTACAGTACTGGTGTACTGTAGTGGATAGAGCTGCAAATTACAGACCAATGGCTCTCTAGTTTGAACCATGCTGAGTTTGCTGGTTTCAGCCAGGACAGTATGCCGAGTTGAATTGGCCCTGACCTTCCTCGGGTTAGAGAGGCTAAAATCAGATGGGCTTTCTACTTTTCTTCCCTCTGCAGCACCCTCTAGTAATAGTGGTAATTATTAAGAATTCTGGTAATAATAAGAATTTATACCTTTGGTAATGCATGTAGGTAGCAGGGTGGGGCGAGGTCAGATTTGGCTGTGATGCCCTCTACAGTCAAATGGCCTGCTGATACTTATTCCCTAGCCTTGAATATGAAGAATGGTCATTTATAATAAATAAAATAATCCTTGCATTTGATATAACGCTTTTCATGTTTTCTAGACGTCTCAAAGCGCTTCACAGAATATACTGTAAAGTGAATTGACTGTAATTTTGTGGGCGAAACGCGGCAGCCAATTGCGCGCAGCAGTGTCCCACAAACAGCCGTGGATTGAGTGACCAAATTATTATTGTTTTTTTTTCTTGAGAGATTATTATTAGGCATGTGGAGTAAGGAAACTTGCCCAAGGTTTCGCCCTGCTGGGCATCCAACCGAGGTCTCTCGCTTTCAAGGCGAGTGCTGTCACCACTGAGCTACAGGACTCCACTTGGTACCAGAGAGCAGTCAGTTACCATGGAACCACACCCCAGCATGAGTACACTGGGAACCAAGAACACAAAGGCATATATGCCAATGAGGAGAAGTTCAGAGAAAAAAGGTCCTTTTTAAAAAAATATATATAATGAGCTTAGATAAAAAAAAGAGCTTAGATAATGGAGATAATACGTATGTATTTCAGGACATATGTGAATATGACTGCCAGGAAGGTGGAAATTAACTAGATGGCCCTTGGTCTTTTTTTCGTCTAGGGTTTCTTAGGTTCTCATGAGATAGGGCTGCAGATGAAACCTTTTCCAGCTTATTAATTACAGAGGAAATGCTGAAGATTGGAAACTGCCAATTTTCCAATTGTTTTTAAAGGTCAGAAACCTGTTCCAGGGAAATGTAGGCACTTTAGACTGATATTTGCAGCAGGAAAAATGTTGCAGCCTATTAAAAATATTGCTCCTGGTCCTTGGTGAATTTGGCATTATTGAATAAATTTGACAGGCACATTGAGGGATACAATAAGGATATTAAAGGCCTCCACCTTCATAATAATTACATAATTAAAAACAGGCAAACACATATAAATGCAACTTTAATCCCTTATGTTGTTTGTCCACTGTATAGGCTGCAGTAACCACTGATTAATTATAATAACAATACTTGCAATTGCTGTAGGACCTTTCATGTCAGGAGGAAGCCTCGAAGCGCTTCACAGATTTGACTGTAAAGTATAGTGACTGTAGTTTATAGGTGAATAGTGTAGACACCGTATGCACAACAAGGTCCCACTGACAGTCATGACAGTAATGATCAATTTGATCTCAGGGTTTGTTGGCCAGGATACCGGGAGAAACTTCCTTCTCTAATAATGTCATGGGATCTTTAATGTCCAACCTGAACAAACGACAATGCAGCACACCCTCAGCACTGCATTAGAGTGTCAGCCTAGACTGCATGAGTTTAAAGTACTGACTTACTAAAGTGCTCTGAGACACCGTTCGGTGTGCAGTGCGCTATATAAATGCTGTTGTTGTTGACGTAGTGTTTGAACCCACAACCTTCTGAGTCAGAGGCAAATGTGCTTCCAACTGAGCCAGGCTGACACAATTGGGAAGCTTTTTCAAATGACAAGGACTCCCACAGCTACATGTAGGTCTTTGTTCTCTTGCCTTCATCACGCCTTCTCCTCACATTTCCAAGATTTCTATGAGCAGTTGATTATGTCTTATTCTTTTTGATTCATCCACTAATAGAGATTACTCACCAGTAAGCTGAAAAAATTGAATAAAATAGGGCATTTTTTCTAACGTCTCCTAGCTAAAAAGTCTCTCTAAATGCAGGACTGACTCTAGAAGACAAAGTGACACCAAAAATTTGATGAATTGGACAAATCACAATGACTGATGGCTCGCCACTGAGAATGCAGAGAGAAATCAATGAGAAAAATTTGGTGAAAACTCATTTTAAAGTGATTCATTATGTAGTGTAACTTTGCTTATAACTTGGTTGCACTGCGGATTCCATTCACTATGCTTCCATGTTTTCTGTTGTGCTGGCTAGATTTTTGCACTACAATTGTTATTGGATCTACCGTAAGTATAAATTTCCCAAATTCCTCCTGTGTGTACGTTGGTGCGTGGGGAAGGGGGTCAGGGAGGTTGAGGGTAGTTGCAATTATCACCTACAAATACAGTCACTACATGTTACAATAATTCCTGTGAAGTGCTATGAGACACCCTCAACAACAACAACAACAGGATTCCATTTATAAAGCGCCTTTCACGTCAGGAGGACGTCCCAAGGCGCTGAAAGGTGTTATATCAAATGCGAATATTATTTATTAATTATAGTCCTTCCACTGTTGAACATTATTTATTGGGGTTTGTTTTGGTCAGTATCCATTAGTATCAAACCAGACTCAGTTCCACATATGTACATACCTGCTGCACATGGAAATTTTGCTATGAGCGGAATCGAATGCGCACTCTTTCCCTACAGAGACGCACTCTGCTTATTTAACTATAGAGTACTAGCTATACCCGTTGCAGCTACGCTTGCAACCAGTTTCATTTAATCGGCTTTTTCTCTGTCGTCTGGCGTTTTTATTTGTCCTGGAAAGGCTTTATCTACGCTTCTGAGGTATCTTTATCCCTTAAGATTAAGAAAATGTGGGGTGAACCCGCCCAGTCTAACAGCATTGGGGACAAGCCCAGCAACGCCCCCCCCCCCCCCCGCTCACGTGACAATTGTGCGCCGCCCGTGGAACCGCAGCGCAGCCTCGGCCGTGGTGACGTGTGTCGCAGGATTTGTACGTGCGGCGGTTGTGAGGTGGCCGTTGTCGGGGCTGCGGGGAGAACGCGGCAGAGCAACCGGCAAACAGCGAGGAGCTGCCCGGCCTGACCAGCCCGGACCTGACCTGCCCGGCCTGACCTGACCTGCCCGGCCTGACCTGCCCTGACCAGCCCGGCCTGACCAGCCCGGACCTGCCCTGACCTGCCCGGCCTGACCTGCCCGGCCTGACCCGGCCCAGCCTGCCCTGACCTGCCCGGCCCGGCCCGGCCCGGCATGGAGCTGTGAGTGTCCGGCTCAGAGCCACCCGCCGTAACTCTCGGAGTGTGGGGGAGTGTGGGGGAGGGCGGGGAGACAGCCCGCGAAGCTGTGGGAGCGCGGCCGCCCCCCCGCCCGCTGTCGTGTGCTTCAGAGTGTGTTTACTCGGGGTCTGGCGGCCTCCGGGGAGCCCCCGGGGCTCCTCGCTGGTAAGACGCGTCGTACAGTACCGCCTCTACGGGTCGGGAGGACGCCTCAAAGCGCTTCGCGGGATTTACCGCAGGGCGTGAGTGACGGCGAGTTTTGCGGGCCGGCCGGCAGTTTGTCTGCACCCCCCGCACCCCCCCCGCAAACAGCCGTGAAGTGAACTGCTACTGTACCTTGATTTACGCGGAGCCCTTAACGTGGGCTAGCGCCTTGGAGCGCTTTACAGGGATGGGGTTGGACACAGGAATGATCAATTTTGGTAGTGATGGGGGTGGCGACAGTTGTCCAGGACACCGGGAGAAACCCCCTTCTCTTTTCGAATAGTACCCACCCTGTGGGACTTTAACATCCACCTGAACAGACACCTCCCGATAATACAGCACACACACATACACACACACAAACATACACACAAACCCACCCACATACACACACACACACATACACACACACACACACACATACACACACACAAACATACACACAAACCCACCCACATACACACACACACACACACAAACATACACACAAACATACACACAAACCCACCCACACACATACCCACACACACATACACACAAACCCACCCACATACCCCCCCACACACACATACACACACACACACACATACACACAAACCCACCCACATACACACACACACACATACACACAAACATACACACAAACCCACCCACATACACACACATACACACACACACACACATACCCACACACACACATACCCACACACACATACCCACAAACCCACCCACATACCCCCCCCCACACACACACACATACACACAAACCCACCCACATACCCACACACACACACACACAAACCCACCCACACACACACACACATACACACAAACCCACCCACATACCGACACACATACCCACACACACACACACATACCCACACACACTCACCCACACACACATACCCTCACACACACCCACATACACACACACATACCCACATACCCACACACACCCACCCACACACACACACACACACACACAGGGCCAGGAGAGTGAGGGGCAGAGGGTGGGGATGGCAACAGGGAAGTGAACCTGAGTTACTATCCCACTGTCAGGCAAATAGCTGAGAAGTGACTGAATGTCAACCTTATTGTTATTCAACGCCACATTAAAAAAAAGTGTCTACCCATCCTGAAAGGCCCAAGGGTTCGCCAAGGAGCACTCTTGCAACTAATAGTATCCGGTGACGTTTAGTATACAGGGATCGCTGCTTTAACATGAGTGAACAGATTTAATGACTGTAGTGTGTGGTGTATACGCCAAATAGTCTGTCGTTGCTGGTGGAGATGGACAGTTTGAAATTAGGAGTCACCTACTTCCTGTGTATAACTTTATAGAGTGGAAAAAAGTTGGTTCACCGATCTGCTTATTTTAGAGTAGTGCATTTATTCTCATATTTCCTGAATTTACCAGTGATGGTTGATATATTTGTTAATCATGTTTTAGGCAACACAGATTTTTAGTGGCTGATTTTCATTTCAGTTGTCTTTATTTGGTCAGCTTGGTGTCTTGACACATGCAGAAACCTATCTCCGTGCTTAACAGCATCCAAACCAGATTGAACAATCTTCATACACATAGAAATGTTCCAGTTTCTGGAATGGGCTGTCCGTTTTTCTTCTTGGAAGGAGGCACCTTACCTATTTTAAAAAAGTGTAAGCTCAGGTTGGGAAGAGCCAAGGCTTGACTCCAGCATGTGCTGGAGTTTAACTGACTCAAACCATATAGCTTGTCGCTGTCTTAACACACATCATGCTGCTTTTCACCGCCCTACCTGTTAGGGCTTTATTTTCCAGGTTTAACAGGAGTCAAGTGGGAAAAATCTCTGCCCCCAGTGATTGTTCTGTCTCTCCTGCTAGGGGGTCAGGCTGAGTGGTCTATTTTCAACACTATCAACAACAACAACAACAAGATTCCATTTATAGAGCGCCTTTCACGTCAGGAGGACGTCCCAAGGCGCTATCTATGAGTACTGCAGACCTGCCTGGCTCAGGATCTTGCCAACCGAGACTGCCACAGAGGATTAACTTGGATCTGGTAGGCATGTTACCATGGAGACAGAGGCGCACTTGCCCCCCCTCCCCTTTGGAGGATAGTCACTAGTTGGTCAGTTGTTCTTTGGTTTGGTGGGCAAATGAGTAGATCGACAAGTACTGGGGTAAGGTTTCTCTGTGTTGCAATAAATTGCTAAAATGTTTCTTTGCCGTTAGGTGAATAGTAGAATTTTAGAAATGTAACACAATAGTAGGCCGCTTGACCCATTTGTTCATGTCAGTCTGGGGCCATTGACTCAGTTCTGCTCACATTGCTTACATTATCCATAACTATTTGTACAGTATACTATCTTCTTCTCCCCTCCTGGTCAAAAATAGGCTGAAGCTGATTAATTGCTTAATAGAGAGGGATTATTTGGTCTACTGAGAATAGTTGAGGATTGGAATTTGAATAGATGGTGTTATTTAGCAAATATCTAAGATGCTTTAGATATACCTGCAAGTCGATGGCTTTACCAAAGAGTGTTTAAGTTAGGAATTGATATTGCAGCAAGGGGTGAAAGTGCATTAAAAAGAATGTGGCGTGTAACTTGAGTTGAATGTTCAGCTCTTATCTGAGATGAGGTTCCAAAGTGCCACACACGTACTTGCATGCAAGCTAAATTAATTACAAAAGTGTGAGGATCCTCGAAATGTTCAATAGCAGGTTAACTCAAAATTATAATTTTGAGAATCATTGGGTATTTATTTCTGAAGATCATTGGCACTATGTTAGTAACAACAAAAATATGAGAAGTACTAGGCTTGGTGTGAAAATCCTGTGATGATCCTGTAGTTACTCTTTAAGATGACCTGCCCAGTGACCTGATGAGATCCTTATGCTGCACTTGCAAGGCTGGTTTCTAAAAATGCTCCACTCCACTTCCTATCTCAGTGGGGAAGAGCCTCACCTTCTGCTTGTATCTCACACAATTTGAATTGTTTGTAAAATACTGTTGTCAATGTTTTGTTGACACAAGTATCAAAGTAAGACATACAGTCAATATTCTATTTTTCCTTTTACAAATTCCTAACGCATTACTAAGCAATAATCTGCTAATTTCCCTTTCTTCCCCCCCTGTCATTTCTTCATTCTAAAATAATTTGTAGCTTACTTGCTCCCATTACTATATTTATAATAGCGTTTTTCTTCTCAAGCCATAGTTTTGTTATTAATACTAAAAATCATCCTGGAAAGTTTTAAAGATCTTTTTCCTATTGTTTTTCAGGATGGATTTTAAGATACTTTTATTTATCTAACAAATGTTTACTTATAATCATCCTATCGTCTCTTAGAATTTGTCTTAAACTGTTCTGCCTTGAATGACTACTTCGATAATGCCAAATTTTTGGTGTATATATGAAGGTTCTATCAAAGCTTCTGAGTTTGTGGATGTCTTTCAACTTTAGGTTACTGGGCACCGGAAACTTCATGTGGAGGGAAGGGGTGCTATCCTCCGGGGGGGGGGGGGGGAAGAGAGGAGGTAAAAGGGATCTCCTTGGAGCTGAGTAAGTGATTCTAAGGTGACATGTTTGGCAATGCAATGTCGTAATTTGTGGTGGTCTTGGTCTCCAGTTCCTGAACCAGGTCTGCAGTAATCCAGGGCACTTCTGATGATAGCACGGCCAGCCTGGCTCATTGGCAGGATTTGGAAGAGCAGTCACTGGGAGCGGGGATTGTTCCTACCCGTCTCCCGTTAAACCTTTGCCACCATTGTTCTTTTCCCCCGTGGTGGAGTTGTGTTATTTCCATTTAGTTCCTGTGTTTTAAATTGCATTGGTGAAATACTATATTACTAGAAAATCCAGTGTTTGCCATTTACATTGTGTTTTTTCCATTGGAGCACTTTTCTACCACATTAACTACTAGTTTAGAAGCAACTCTGTTTCTGTGAGCCATTTATTTCTTAATGATTATACAGAATCTCTATGTTATCTGGTGATGTAATGTAGTCATTCCTGCGCTTGCCTGAACATAACCCATTTTTTTGACTGGGATGCATCCTTCTGGTCAGTCCCAGAGATCTCATTTTGAATATTTTTCCTAAAAGCTGCTTGGTAACAGTCTATTTTTCTCTTCTCCACAGGGTAGCACCAATGCGGTTGTACACCCTGTCCAAGCGTCATTTTGTTCTGGTGTTTGTGGTGTTCTTCATCTGCTTTGGCGTGATTGTCTTCATTGGAATAGCTGGTAAGTACAAGACTACAGAATATGAATTGAATAGAGACGGAGATTATTTCACTTTCAACAAAAACAACAAAAAAGCTGTGAGTCACGTTTCAGTTAAAATGCATCTTGCATTCAAGGCTATGGCCTAACTTCAGTCTTACAATGTAAATAGGCATGCAAAACTGTACTTGAATGGAAGTACATTTCTCACTAATGTGAGCAAGGATTTATTGTTAAATATTTAACAATAAACGTGGAGTCCTGTAGCTCAGTGGTTAGAGCACTCGCTTTGCAAGTGAGAGACCCGAGTTCAATTCCAGGCAGGTCAGGGCGAAACCTTGGGCAAGTTTCCTTACTCCACACAGAGCCTAATAATAATCCCTCCAAAACCAAAAACAATAATAAATTGGTCATTTTCATTCTACGACTGTTTGTGGGACATTGCTGTGCGCAATTGGCTGCCGCGTTCGCCCACAAATATACAGTCCATTCACTTTACAGTGTGTTCTGTGAAGCGCTTTGGGACGTCCTCCTGACGTGAAAAGCGCTATATCAAATGCAAGGATTATTATTATTATTATTTCTTGTTAATTAAAAATTAACAGAGAGCTTGAATGAGACACGGTTAAGAAAACTCAACGGTATTTTTATTATGGTTCGTTCAGAATCCCAAACTGCTTGGAAATAGTTCTCAAGTGATTTTGACAAATAACAATAAATTGCACAACCATGAATAACACAAATAACTAATCAACTTTAACAAACACTAGCTAGCAGCCTATTAAATATGAGGTTAATGTATGTCCACTGAACCAACTCTTGACTCAGAGGGTTTGTATCTCTAGCTAGTCAAGACAAGTACCTTTCAGATTTTACCAAATAACAAGACTTTCTTTCTGATTTCAGGTCCAGAAATTATTACGTCCAGACCATTAGCACCAATTTTACCAAAAGGCAAAGATAATTTAGTAAGTGAATGTCTGTTTCCATGAAGCATGAAGCTAATATTCTAATATTTCCTGCTAGAATTTGGCAGCTTGCAATGCCCCCTGGGTTTTCTTAAGATTCTTTAAATGAGAAAGCTGTAAAGTGAAAGTAATTTGTTGCAAAGCATTGCCCTTATAGTTAACATTGAAAGTGCTACATTGTGACATGTGGCTATCAAATTGCTAGTTATTATCTGGAAAATGAAATGCTACTTTTTCTTTCCACCTTTCCTAGGCTCAGCCATTAAAACTGCGAATACCAGGCCTGTCCACATACAATCAAGAGCTATGGTTGATGTGTCGTTTTGAACTGAACAAGACTACAAGTAAGAATATATCCTTGGTCCAAATAAGGGAATACCACGCTGTTGCACCCCTTGCAGACACATTTGCTAATTATATGAAAAGGAGATCAGTAGAGATGGAGGATACAGCAGAATGATTTTGTTTTGTAATTGGGAAGATACACACCAAATGACCCAAGTACTGTCAATGACTTAGTTTGTAGCCTCCAATTCAAAAGATTGTGGATTCAAGCTCATAGTCTAGGCTGATACTCCAAATGTTGAGCTGGCAGATCTCTGTATTGTTGGAGATGCAGTCCTTTAGATGACATTTTAAGATCCCATCTGCCTGTTTCACGGGAACTTCAAAGATCCCATAGCACTATTCAAAAAGACAAAGCAGTTTCTCCTGATATCCTGGTTAATGATCCTCCGGATAAAATCAGTTATGACTGTTTGTGAGAGTTTGCTTTGCTCAAATTGGCTGCTGCTTTTTTTGCCTGCAAATATAGTCCACTTTAAGTCATGTAAATGTCTGAGGTGATTCAACAACTTGAGGCACTATGTCAAATGCAAATATTTTTTCAATTTAATATCTAATACCCTCTTCTCATAACACCAAACTGTTGAATAATTCATCTGTAGTTTTAAAAAAAAAAAATTTCTCTTCAGATGTAGACTTCCAGAAAATTTTCACAATGGAGGTCACTATAAGTGGAGCCGAGCAGGACGCCAGTGTGGCAAACTTCAATGATAAGGCTCACAATCACACCAGATTACTTCACTGCGCAGGAGTAAGTATGCTGTAGTAAACCGTTGTGCTGTGCCTACAATGTATGTGTTCTCTCATCAGAGTAGAGAATGGTTTGCATGTTAGCTCTGGAACTTTGGTTGAAATCTGAATTGTTTGGAATGAAATTCTCTGCCCATTGGAAGGGTCCTCCTTAAAATGTGTTTGATCAGTCTCGGGCCTGTTCCTACTGGACCTACCCTACATTACTGGCAATCTCTCATAGAGACTGAAAGGATGGTTGGTTTTTAAGTTGGGGGAGGAGAAGAAAGAAATACTGGTACGTTGTGCAATGTTTGTTAATGTAGAGATGAGGTTCTAGTGCTGGAGCTATTACTACCTATTGCAAACTGTGCTCAAATGGGAAAAAGATCAGTATCACGTAAATGTGCATATGAGAGTTCCCTCCACTAGAATTATATTCTAGTCCTATAACTCGGTAGTTAGAGCACTCGACTTGCAAGCGAGAGACCTGGTTTTGATTCCCGGCAGGACAAAGCCTTGGGCAAGTTTCCTTACTCCACATGTCTGATAATAATCCCTCAAGAAAAAAAATAATAAAATTGGTCACTTCAATCCATGACTTTTTGTGGGCCACTGTGTGCTGTGCGCCATTGGCTGTTGAATTTGGCCTACAAATATACAGTCATTTCATTTTACACTATATTCTGTGAAGCGCTTTGAGACATCTAGAAGACGTACAAAGTGCTATATCACATGCAAGGATTCTTCTTCTGAAGACTGACATGGTGGAATATCAGTTATGATTCAGATTCTTTAGGATAGTTGGTCAACTGTTTCAGTGATGCAGGAAAATTCCTCTTGTTAAACTTAGAGATGACTGTATATAATATAAAACTCAAAATATAGTCTCAATAGCTATTTGTAAAGCAATGATAACTCATGAAATTGTTCCCATCACAAAACACTTGATACTAGTTGTAGACTTTTGAGGATAACACACAAATAAAATTCTGTACCCACTATTTACTTCACACCATTTTTTGATGATCAAAATTAATGTTTCTTTGTTATATATGATCCTATAATGCAAGATTGTTGTCGTAAAATTAGACACGGGTGGAAGATTTTAGTTTCAATGTTGGAATTCGACTAATTTGTACTTTTAAATTTCTTTCAGCAAACGTGTGATGAAATCATTGTGCTGCATTTGGGTTATTTGAACTATACAGAGTATGTAATTATTGTCAGATTTTACAGTCTAGAAGACTTACAGTACAAGATAAAGAATGTGAATTTCACAGTAAGTTTGGTATCCTATTTTCCTTGGTGATGGCTGCGTATAGTCTAAAAGTCATTCAAACCCATTTGTCATAAGTGTAAGATGGTGTTCAGAGGTTTAAAACTGTGTATCACTTTCAATTAAACACTCCCTTATAATAACATGGATTTTGTGCAGTTTAACTGAATATACTACCTTAACTACAGGATTCATATGAAATGGGGGGAAACAGTCGTTTTTTTATATATAAGAGGCCATTAATGTCAGATTGTGTGCTTAGGCTGGGGATTTAATTAAGGAAAATATTAGATTTTGCTATCATATTATAAAGTTAAATAACAAATATTTGGTGCTTTAGTTTGACGAGGAAATAAAGGGTGTCTGGGAGTGATTGCTGGAAAGCTGAGGGTCCGGACATACATTAGCTAGAGGATCAAGGTTCTGGTCTTTTACAACATGAATAGTGTGACATGTACTCTGGGATGAATTTACTTCCACTGGAATCACTCCCAGCTACATATTGTGTTGGTTTTAACCAGGATAATTCAATCTGACTTATCATATGGCAACGAATCATTGTTTACATGAGCAGCCAGATGACTAAAACCATTTCATGATATCCATTATGAAAGATCAAATTGATGGTAAAGTTGCTGAAAACTTCAGTATGTATTTTAATGTGTTGTGGACTATTAGGGATAATTATACTGCTGTTGCTGTACAAGTAATTGAGGAACTCAATGACCCTCTGCTGCGATATGGCAACCAGTCAGACCTGGAATCTGGACATTTTGTAGTATATGTACATTTTGTACTACCATTTGGTATAGAGTGGGTTCACAGTACACACATTCTATAATCAAGGCTGTGCTTTAATGGATGTTATAATGGGGGTTCCCTGTATTAGGAACCAGTACACTGCAATTAAAGTAAATCTACATTTAGTTTTCATTTGAAAAATCTACATTTAGTTTTACCTTTGGTAGTGTTAAATATAATTTTTAAAATGTTAAAGACAAAATGAAAATTTTTTCTCCAACTCTAAGCTGTGTTACATTTCTTCAGCACATTAAAAGCAAATCTGAAAAATGTGATGTTGCTTTTTGTCTTTTAACACCAGTATTGGTTGTATTTTCTTCCCCACACATAGTTGAAGATGTATAATGCCTCCTTTTCACAAGTGGAAATCTGGTTCAGGTTCATCTTTGTCGTTTTCACATTCATGGTGACTGTAAGTATGATTTTGATGTGTGTGTGTGTGTAACAATTTAATATTCTAAATACTTACAAGAATTTCTACAATGTGATGAGTTTGTGTTTAAGCGTAGTGACGAGTAAAGCAATATCTCTTATTAATAGTTTATATGGGAAGCAGCCAGGATATTGACAGCAGGACAACTTGAATGACAGTGATGAGTTAAGCCAGGGTTGAGTTATCCGGAGTTTAGTGTAATCTGAATACGTAGACTTGCCTTGGTGTATTACGCTTCTTTTGGTGGCTATCACCATTATTTAACTGTAATGTTGGCTGCTATAAATGCTTGCGTCCAGTGCCGGGATAGGGTAGTGTTGCTTTCCTGATGGTTTGTTGAAATGCCTTTTTGCAGGGATTGATGAAAGTGTTCTTAGACTCCTTGTATGGTGCTGCTGATAACTTCAGACAAATCTTTTGTTCCGCAGTGCCTATTTGCTCACTCTTTGAGGAAGTTTTCGATGAGAGATTGGGCGATAGAACAGAAATGGATGTCCATCCTTTTGCCTTTGCTGCTGCTTTATAATGGTATGGACAATAGTACTTGTTATCATTGTAAATGAACACATTCCTAATGACTGTTTCTTGACTTCGATATTTGCTTTCTGGAAGGCTCATTACTGTGGGATCCTGGGATTCCTCTGTTCTCTGACACTTGATGTACTCACTAAAGGCAGTTGGTCAGTGAAGAAGTACTACAACTTTAGTATCTAGTGCTGGCTACTATATTTGGAGTCCTGTAGCTCAGTGGTTAGATAACTCGCTTTGCAAGTGAGAGACCTGAGTTCAATTCCAGGCAGAGGGCGAAACCTTGGGCAAGTTTCTTTACTCCACACAGAGCCTAATAATAATCCCTCCAAAAACCAAAAACAATAATAAATTGGTCATATTCAATCTACGACTGATTGTGGGACATTGCTGTGCGCAATCGGCTGCTGCGTTCGCCCACAAATATACAGTCAATTCACTTTACAGTGTGTTCTGTGAAGCGCTTTGGGATGTCCTCCCGACGTGAAAAGCGCTATATCAAATGCAAGGATTATTATATTATTACTATGCAATAGCTACTATATCCCTGAGCAATCACTGTCTGTTAACACTATACTTAGAAGATTTTCTTGGACAGTTTTTGAAATCCAAGTACCTGGAATTATTCTTCATACTTTCTCATTCTTTTAGCTTAACAACTCAGGACCGGTGCTTCAGCAGTGCTTTAAACCTTTTTTTTTAAAATACAGATTCCTATCACCAGTGTTTGTACTTTTTTTTTGTACAATTCAAATGCATATGGAAATTGAATGAAGGGAGGAGGTTAGATTACATATGGCGAATAAAATGCTTATTCTTTGAATGTGTTAAGCTTCCACATAAAAACCATCTTGCAACTCAGTTCTATCTTGGACACCATCAGTTACACTTCCTAGTCAACAAATGAGGAATGGTTCAGAAACGGGCTCTTTACTTACACTGGCCATGAGAAACATGCTGGCAGGTTGTATAACACCATTGTTATAAAGAGATAGTGGCCCAGTCCTCTAGTGTTATTGAATACTGTGTGGAGATTAAACAATATTCAGAGAATGAAGAAGGTCATAGATACCATTGTGTAAATATATGGGTGTACCCTGTCAGCCTATAATACCTGTTTACTTTCCATAGTTGAAGGAACTTAAAAAGAGATGTAGAAAAATGCTGCCTTGCTTCTAAGCTGGTTTCCCACTAAGAGAAAATGCAGTATACCTGACTTTCGATGTTGACTAACCAGCTTTTCATGCTAACAAATGGATGACTTCCATTGTCAGATTGCCGCCGAGGTCACTTCCTTCTTGTGTGCTATGTGGGATGTCCTCCCGATGTGAAAGGCACTAGACAGATGTCATTTTGTATTGTATGTGCAACAAGTGCTACCAATGTCATTTTCTGTGCACATGCACTATGTATCGGAATTGCTAGTGTCTTCACGTCACACAGAAAGCACAATCGGCGATGCTTTTTGCGCTTAGCACAGAATATACAGTAAGTGACGGGAGCACCTGGAAGTCAGCCATTTTTCACACTTGGCTGATACTCGGCTCTTTAGGCATTGAACACAGCAAATCGTGTTATAATGAGGTTGCCTTGCATCACTATTGATTTTGACCCCGGGAATGTATCTATACAAACACAAAAGCACACTACTTGACAACTTTTACCACTCAGTTTATAGTATTCAGTATGAGTTGAAGCTTTGTATTTGGATTAAATTTAATCATTCCCGTTTGGGTCAAGGTATTTATTTGACTTTGGGGAGGTGGGCTCATTATATGTCAACTACTATTGTGTTCACTTTCAGTTTGCAGTGTTTGGTTAACCCCACCCTTGTAGAAGGAAGGTTATACTGTAGGGTACACATAATGAGAATTCTTTCACTCTCAACAAGTTGTATCTCAGGTCTCTAAATCGAGATAGATTCTGCAGCAATCTGACTGTTTTTTTCCATATGCTGTTTGTCAGCAGCTAAATGTATTCCTTTTTAAGAGGTCATTGAATTATTTGATCAGTATTAAAACAAAAAGTGGAAAGCTTGGATATGTATTTAGACGTTGTGTCCTGTTTTGTAATTTAAGAGTTTGTAATTTAGAGTGAGTCATTTTATGATGCATTAAGCATAGAATCAAAATTGGCCATCGTATTTGGCCACAAAATACACACAGTTGCACCACTTTACAGTACACCCTGCAAAGTGCTTTGAGATGTCTCAACAATGTGATAAGGTGCTATTTCAAGGGCAAGAGTTATTATCTAGATGTGAATGCTTGTTCAAACGTTTACTACAAATACATGTTTCCTTTTTTTCTCAGACCCATTCTTCCCACTCTCATTCCTTGTGAACAGTTGGTTTCCAGGAATGCTGGATGATCTTTTCCAGGCTATTTTCCTGTGTGCGTTGCTGCTGTTTTGGCTCTGTGTTTATCATGGAATTCGTGTGCAGGTAAAGAATTGATAAAAAGAACAAATAAGTAATGGATCCAATTTTTATAGTACACTCACATCAACTTTAATAGCTTAAACTCTAATTTGAGAATTTGTTTATACCTTTGAAGAATCAATTGTCTATTATTTTTGCCTTCTTTCTCTCTGCAGACGGCACTTAAAAAAACTGCATGTTTCATTTTTATCCAAGTGACTAAATTTACGTATGTGTTTGGAACTTTATAAAATTACCATTAATTGCCTTAGAGTTTTCTTTCTCTTTTTGGTCAGCTAGATGGGTGTCAGAAGCATACTGATGAGTTTTCGCATGCGTCAGAGTATCCAAACTGAGTTCCATCTATTTGGAGAGGGCAAATTTGCAGGGCTATGGGGAGAAAGGGGGAGTGGGACTAATTTGGACAGCTCTTTCAAAGAGTCGGCATGGACACGATGGGCCAAATGGCCTCCTCCTGTGCAGTATAGTTCTATGATTCTGTCCCACCTCTACGTGGAAATTTCAGAGATGCTTATTGGAAAGGAATGCGCATTTCTCCCTGCAGGCAAGAGCCAAAACTTGGGGACTCCAGGGTGTGTTTTGGGGTACTGCTACAGTCAAACAAACAAACTGCATAGCATGCTACTCATATTAATGTCTGGTAAGCTTTCCTGTTGCTTGTCCAGCTGGTACCAACCCCCTGTTAGGGCATTGGCTTGTGGGTTAACAGGAGCTGAGTGGGATGACTCCCTGCCCCAGTGACTGGTCTGCCCTTCCAACTCTTGCTGATGAGCCACCTTGGTTGGGCTGTCATCAGGAACTCTCAGAGAGCTTCCTGGTGAGCAACACCACTCAGCATGAAGTGGATGAGAGCATTGCCCCCATCTTCCTGCTCATAGCTCAGATACGCATCCCTTTCTATTGAGGGTGATCCACCAGTTGGAGGTGAGGAGGTTGAGCAGCAGCTGCTTCTCTCTGCATTCCAAGCGTTGGATGTTCATGACATTGGACTCCAGGTCTTAAGACTCCAGGGACTTAAGATCAGGTATCCTGTCTGTTCCAGTGACCACCAACAACAGCTTGGAGATGGTATAGGGTGAGGAATTTTAAATTAACCTGAGGAAACTGTAGACTTGTCAATCTCTTTGCTTGGGATTGTTTAATGCAATGATGTTAAGATTAGTATTTTGGACTGGTTTGGGCTATTCCCATGGCCTAATTATGCTCCTAGCTCTTCTTCATCGGCGTGTGTCGAAAGTACAATTTCTGCCCACAAAGAAAACTGAAATTCCAAACCCAATCACAAAATTTTCTTGGTTCCAGATCCGGCCTCTCTCTAAACTGTGTGCTTTACCCTGTGTGCCCACAAGAGTGAGCCCTCACTATGAAACTTATCACATATACAGTATTTAACATTTGAATTTGCCTACGCAGAAAGTAACATGCTAGTTTCACTTTAGATTAGTATATCTCATTAAACCACAGTGCCACTGCTATAATGATCCCTGAGCATTAAACATAGTTTGATACATGATTACATTCCAGACAAGAAGCAAATATCATCTCTGTCCTGGTTCCAGTTTTAAAGCCACCAGAGATTGTTTTTAAAAACAGACTATGGTGTACACTCAGAAAATCACCATTATTCTTTGGGGTACTTGCTTCGTCAGAAATTCAATTGTCACTGAGGCCAAGTGTCACTTAACAGAGGAAAATTGTTTGTTAGTACAGTGTCAGAGCACCATTGGACTCTGCTCCCCAGGTTTCATCTTAACCTTCAACAGGGGCTTGTTTACTGAGAGAGATCAGCCTCAGGCCACTCTTGTGCAACTCCTGGTGGTTAGTTCACAGTAGACTTGCTGGAAGCCAGAAAATAGGTCACTTGGTATAGGTTGTAGAAAAAATTTGATCAGGATTGAGTTCTAGAGTGATATCTCATTTGGCTCTCAGAGTTCTATATAAAGCAACCTTTAAAGAGCATTTTGCAGTTAATTTGGTTATCAGCAGGAATAAACTACAACAGTGTTAAGAATATCATTAACCTCATCTACTTTAACTACTGCTACTCCTGGCAGCCCTGAAATAACACTCCTCCTACTCCTACAACTGCTCCTGCACCACTAATATAATTGACAAGCCTCTGGTAGAAATTGTGTAAACATGGAACTATCAAAACTGGCAAGTTTTTTTTCATTAACTTTTACATTTTAAATCGGTGGGAAGAGGCTTGTGCCAACTCATTGCTGCACTTAGAGGTAAGCTGGAATGAAGGGTTATTGTTTCAACACCTGGACCCACCCAGCCCAATTAAAGGAAGACTTCATGAATTGTATGGTTCCACATGTAACATGCAGATAATTAGCTTGTTATTTCAAGGGTGCCAGGACTGTAGTACGATATAATTAAGTCACCAGGTAATCTTTCATTCAGCGTATTCTGCACTTGTACAATAAGGAGTCCTGTAGCTCAGTGGGTATAGCACTCACCCCACAAGCGAGCGACCTTGGTTTGATTCCCGGCAGGGCGAATACCTTGGGCAAGTTTTCTTACTCCACGTGCCTGATAAACCCTCAAGAAAAAAAAACAGTAATAATTTGGTCACTCAATCCATGACTGTTTGTGGGACACAGCTGTGCACAATTGGCTGCTGTGTTTCGCCCACAAAATATACTGTCAATTAACTTCACAGTATATTCTGTGAAGCTCTTTGAAACATCTCGAAGACGTGAAAAGCGCTATATCAAATGCAAGAGTTATTATTATTTTAATATGCGTCTTTGAATTTTGTATGAAATGACAAAGAAAATGCAAGCTCCTCTAAAGCTTATAATTGCAGTATAACTAGAAATTGGGAGGTTAAAGGATTTGTTCAGACCTAAATGATTTTGTACTTTTCCCGTCTACAGGGGGAGAGGAAGTTTGTGACTTTCTATATGCCTAAAATTCTTATTGTTGGACTCCTTTGGTTGGCTGCAGTAACTCTGGGGATATGGCAGACGTAAGTAATCTCTTTTAATTTTGAATCAGCTTCCTGAAAATTTGTGAAAGATTTAACTGGAAGGTGCTGTAGCTACCTGGCTAGGATTGACAGTGTACCATGTTCTTTAGACCAGTCTAATTGAGGCTTGCTTTTGCTTTGCTCTTAATCGGTCTGCTGATTTCTCACAATTTGTCAGGCATTTCAAGAGCACCAATGGCAGACTGGATCAGGCAATTAGAAGAGGAATGAGGTGCATTGTGTTTTTTTAAAATAAAACATGTTGGGTGTTAATAAGCTGGAGGATCAATTTAAAATAACTGTTATGTCTGTTGTGTCTGCTTATAAATGTTTCACCTCCAGTAGTGCAAGCAAGAACTACTGTGTTGGGTTTCCAGGTTTGAGGCACTGTCACTTAGTCAAAAGAAAGCAAGTTACAAAAATGTATTTATATTTTAGTTCAATTACAAGTTGAAACTCTTAAAGAGTGAAGTTGGGGTAAATTTTGATGATAAGGCAATATTAATATCACCAATTAATATTCTAAATATTAAATGCCATCTGAGTTTTAATAATAGTGGATTGATTGGACAGTTAGTTGAGCTTTAACTATTTTCATTGAATCTGAAGATAAACTGTAGTCAGGAACAAATAAATAAGATTAGCTGGTTTAGCTGTACTTTATAATTGAAATGGATTATAACATTCCTGGGAGGACTACACTGACAGAATAAATATGCAAATTGTGATTTAGTATTTGTACTCAAATGTTGCTTTGTTACTATTGTATGAAAGTTATACAGGACCATTGGAATTGAAGGAAAATACCAGCTCTGAAGGAATTAAACAACTAACTAAATAAACCCCACACTATGCATCACCATGCGCCTCAAATTAATTCATTGCTAAATTGTGAATTCCTCTTGTATTTCTGACCCTGCATGGTTCCACTCTCCCTACATATCCCTAAATAACAATATATTCCATGTAATCGCCAGTCTGCATAAAATATTTAAATCTGAACTGTTTTTTGATCTTGAGCCCGTGACCCCTTGTTTTAGATCCATTGTGCTAATAACTTATAAACAAATAAACAGTATTATTTCTGGAATATAGTGAGTTCTTTGTCCCTGCTGAGACTTTCAATTGAGAAGCAACCACCACAGGGAGGTACGCTTACAACCTGATCTGTTTAATGCATTGTACACATAGATGGGATCACTTACTATGTCAGCTGCTGCTGTTGGAGGAGCAGAAGTGGCTAGTGAATTAGCTATTATAGAAAGTACTAAATCTTAAAAATACTGCTGTACATCCAGGCCCAGAGAGGAAGAATTCTAAGGCTTGAAGTAAAGATGAATGAATACACGGTACTTACTGAAACGTTCAAGCTTAGCAGTGTGTATTTTAAATGGTTAAATACTAAGAATGACTTTATTTTGGGCCTCTTTTAGAGTTAATGAGTTACATGACCCAACATACCAATACAGAGTGGATACAAACAACTTCCAGGTGAGAGATTGTGGTTCTTAGAAGTTGATACTTGCTATACTGCGATACTTGCGATACTCTTTCCTCTCACTCCCTCCATGAACCCTTCCAATCGGGTTTCCATGCTGCCCACACCACGGAAACTGCTCTGGTCAAGGTCACAAACGACATCCTGACCATGTGTGACCAGGGTTCCCTCTCTGCCTCCTCATCCTCCTTGACCTTTCCGCCGTCTTTGACACTGTGGACCACTCAATCCTCCTCCACCGTCTCTCCTCCCACCTCAACCTTCAAGGTTCTGTCCTTGACTGGTTCAGGTCCTACCTTTCACACGGCCTCCACTTCGTTGCAGCAAACCGCGTCTCCTCCAGCCCCCGCACCATCTCGTGCGGTGTCCCTCAGGGCTCTATCTTCGGTCCCCTCTTCTTTACCCTCTACATGCTCCCCATTGGTGACGTCATCCGCAGACATGGGGTAAATTTCCACATGTATGCGGACGAAACCCAACTCTACCTCTCTGCCTCCATTCTGAACTCCAGGACTACTGAGATCCTGACCAACTGCCTGTCCGATATCATGTCTTGGACGAGGGCCAACTTTCTCCAACTCAACGTTAGCAGGACCGAGGTTCTCCTGATTGGCTCGCCCAGCGCCTCCACACTTCAGGCGCTGGCAGCATCAGCCTCCATGGCTGCGCACTCAACCTTACTAAGCCAGTCAGGAACTTGGGTGTCTTGTTTGACCCTGAACTGTCCTTTCTCCCCCACATCCGCACCATGACCAGCACTGCCTACCACCACCTCCGCAACATTGCCAGACTCCGCCACTGCCTCATCCCCTCAGGCTGCTGAAACCCTCACCCACGCATTTGTCACCTTAAGGCTTGATTAACGGAATTCCCTCCTCATCGCCCTTCCCAACTCTTCCCTTCACAAGCTGCAGATCATCCAAAACTCTGCAGCTCGTGTACTGTCATGCACCAGGCTCCGAGACCCCATCACTCCCACCCTCGCCTGACTCCACTGGCTCCCCATCCCCCAGAGGATTGAGTTCAAGATCCTCGTCCTCACCTTTAAGGCCATCCATTATTATTATTATTATCTATGGTCTTGCCCTCTCCTACCTCTGACCTGCTGACTCCTCCCTACCAATCTGCCCACTCCCTCTGTTCATCAGGTTTCGGCCTGCTCCCATGTCTCCCGCCCTACCATTGGTGGCCGGGCTTTCAGCCTCTCTACCCCCACACTCTGGAACTCCATCCCACGGTCCCTTCGCCTCGCTTCCTCCCTTGCCTCCTTCAAGGCCGGTCTCAAGACCCTTCTCTTCGACCGTGCCTTTGGTCTCCCTCCCACCTCTCTGCCTTCCCTCACCCCTACACCACCCCTCTCCCATGCTCGGGCCCCGACATCTGACTGTACAGCGCTTTGGGACATCCTCCGAATGTGAAAGGCGCTCTATAAATGTAATTTTGTTGTTGTTGTTATAGACACCAAAATAATATGGAACATAGTGCTGCAAATAATGCATTGATAACCATGTCAAAACAGTGAAAGGTAGTAATAAGCAATGTATGGTAAAGAACTCTTTCCCCTCCACACACCCCCAACCACTATTTCAAAGTAAATGGGGAATTTCTCCTATTGTCCTCGCTATTATTCTCTTTGTTCTCTTGTCAAAATTATTCCCCAAATTAATTTGGTACTTATTTCACTGCTCTTTGCAGATCATTGTTGGCTCAAATTAGATGACAGCTTGGATCAGTTGGAGGTATTGTTGCCTCCAAGCTTCAAGGTTTAAACCTCAGATTGGGGCTTTGAACTTGTAATCTAGGCTGACACTCTAGTGCAGTGATACAAGAACGCTGCATTGACAGTGGTGCTATCCTTTGGATGAGATGTTAAACCAATACCTGTTCAGGTTGACAATAAGGATCCCTTGATACCATTCGAAAGAGAACAATAGTGTTCAGGCCAACGATTCTCCATTGTTGTCTGTGGGACTTTGCCATGTACAAATTGGTTGCTGCATCTAACAAAAATGCAGTTAGTACAATTAACAACAATTAACAGCCTTAAGATGTTCTGATGTTAATATGTGAAATATCAAAAGGAACAATTATAAATAAGTTGGTACATTTGTCAACATAATGATTGTCATCTTTAGTTTCATTTTGTATGGTTTTGATTTTTTTTCATAAGACTAGTCTGCTTAGTTATAGCAATGGATTCAAATATCTGATTTAAAAAAAAAAGTCCTTCCAGCTTGGTTTTCTCTCTCTCTCTCTCTCTATATATATATATAGGAAATATCTTTACATTGAGTACTTTTTGATACCTTTTCATTTCAGGGAATGAAGGTTTTCTTTCTAATTGTGGGATCCCTGTATATACTGTACCTTGTTTTCCTGATTGTGAGGGCCTGTTCAGAACTGAAAAACATGCCATATTTTGGTAAGTGGTGTTTTACTGAAATGTCGATTTGCTGAGTAAAATGTTTGCTAAAATGGTTACTTATTGAAAATAATAAAGGATATCATTTTGCACAGAGGTGCTTTAAACTTAGGGGGGGAATGATATATCTTTTACTGTTTGCTATGTACTGGTTAATTGAACAGAATTCCATTTTTATAATTTGAGTCGACTTAATTGTTTTTCATTCAGCTTTTGGGGAGGTGGTGGGAAGAGCAGGATATTAATGTTTTATATTTGGAACAATGGGATACTTTTGAGCAAACAGTAGGAGTCCAGGGTAGGAGGGAGAGTAGAACGTGCCAATGAAAAGCCGACGTGAGATTTTGTTGATTTACAACAACAGCAACAATTTGCATTTATATAGTCCCCCCTCACGCAGGGTAGTGTTACATAGCACTAGTATCCAATACTAGTTTCTCTAATGCATTCTAATGATATCCTGCTTATGGAAGTTTGTATTTTTCCTCTATGTATACAGTAAATTTCTGATACCTTGTCACTCCCAACGGAAAAGAGCTCAGCAACGAGTTATTGCAGTGATGAGTTAAGCATAGGTCCTCCCAGCCACAACAGGCACTGTGACTGCTGCGGATGCTTGGCGGAGGTTGGGCGCACATGACGAGAGGCCTCTGGTCTATTGGAGGACCAAGCTGTGGCCTCTGGCCTTATTCTGTCACAGGATAGGTCAAGAGGCCATGGCTCCAATAGACCAGAGGCCACTGCGATGCATCCAAGCCTGTGCATCCAACCTCCGCTGAGTGCTCCCACCAGTCACAGAATAGAGCAGGAGGCCTCTGCAATGCAAGGTGCCATCTTATAGGATGAGTTATTTGATTAGATTTACATTGTAAGTACTTAAACAAATTTCTAGAATGCAGCTAGTTGCGTGTTAAATTGTGTGACAAGTAAAGCCAAAGTTCCTTATTAACACTTTGCTTGGGAAGCAGCTGGGATATTGACAGCATGGTGACTTAACTCGTCGTGACTAATTAAGCCAGGGTTGAGTTCCAGAGTTTACTCTGCTTTGGCCTGGCCTAAGAGCTAACCTGAAGCCATCTTACCCCATGAAAGCTTAGTACTAGCTGGATGTTGTATACTTGACTCCCATCATTGAATTGTGTGATACTGCCTTTATCAATTAGTCATTGAGTTGTAAGAAATGACATCATGAAACATCAAGTATTAAGCCGCTTGTTGGCTAAATGGTTTATTTAAAAGCCATTTTAATCAGATTCATGTAATTCTTGTATAACGTTTTTATGATTTAGGTCTTTTCCGTTACTCAAAGTGTTGCAGTTGCATCACTTACGAGTCAATGAATCTGTGGTTAATGTTGATCATTTTAGTGAATTACAGATTCTGTTCTTGCACATCTATACATGTGACCATCTGGTTTGATTTTTTTTCAGATCTCCGACTGAAGTTTTTGACAGGACTAACATTTATTGTGCTGGTAATAAGGTAGGAAATGTCTATCTTGACAAGTTCAGAAAACTGGTGTTCTACCAGTAACTTTTGTATCTATCTCTGTTGGGGACATACATCTGGCCTAAGTTGTCCAGTGCTAATGAAAGGAAAAACTGACCTGAATTTTTGCATCCTATCAATATCTAGTACTCCCTGCTGGATTTCCTCCCTGTGGGGATTTTGGTTGAGAAAGGGATGGGGTTTGATTTTTGATGTTGTTCACAATTTCAAAGAGGAACTAGACAAATTCCTTTAAATTTGATAGGATACAGATTTATTTTGATTATTTTTAAAAATGTCCTGTGTCAAATTATTTTTCCAATTTTCTCCCTTTTGGGCATCAAAGGAATATCGTATGAAATTGGCTGTACTGATGGACTGCTCCAGGCTGAAATTGTTACTGTTTTATACAGTAAAACGCACATAAGTCTTATCTTTATGTATTGTATAATCACCTAAGTCATACATTTACCCAAGTCCCATTCAGTTTCCTATCAAAAAACACTTTGAGTTCTTTACTACTTGTATTAACCACCTCCTAACTTGTAATGCCTCTCCCCTACTCTCCATTACTCCCGAATTTACCGGTTGCTTTGAATCATGGGAATATGACGTCTTGACCCGTCGACACACATGCACTTACTAGCCAGCTGCATTGATTCACGGGAAATGTACTCTTGTCCCATCACCACATGCGCACTTACTGGTAGCATTGAAATTCGCATGCGCAGTGTAGATTATTGATTAAATTGGATTTTATATGATTATACAGTTTGCCTGCAAATCAGACTTCGTGTAAGTCTTATTAAATGTTATGATTCCAACTGATATGACTTATGTTGGCTTTACTGTAGTTGTATGTACAAATCACTGGCGAGGCTCACCCATGCAGAATGGCCACTTGGCTAAGGTATTAAAGGGTGGCTGTGCTCCATCATGAGTTGGTGAATTCAGGGCAAGAAGGTGGAAATTTGTTTGATAACATGAGACAAACCATTTTTCAATCTAACCTTTCATCACTTGTTACTAACCAGACCTGAGCGAATTCAACTCTATTCAACTCATCTTTACAGTAATGGTTTTCAAAAGTGCTGCATTGCCTAACCATGTCTCTTATTCTTGTTTGTCTAATGCAACTAAAGATGCTTTATTTCTATAATGGGTATTTACATATTTGTATTTTTAAATATAGCATCGTAATCTTATACCTGAGGTTCGGATCAAGGGTTCTGCAAGATAACTTTGTGGCTGAGCTTTCAACTCACTATAAGAACTATATCCTTTAATGTAGTCAATCTAATGTTTAATAGAGAACAAAGTTGAGAATTCATTACAAAAAAATCAAGAATTGTTCTTGTGTCATTTGTGAGCCCTGATCCCACTTTGTCCTTGGTGCTCTGCTTTTTGTTTGGTCACCTGGTTTCTGACACACGTGGGAAACCATTACCATGCTTAACAGTATCCAAGTGACAGTTCCAAACGTGTATGCCACCTACGGCTGGAAATTTCCCTGTCAGGAATGGAATGCACACTCTCTCCCTAGAGGATTACTTCCTGTTTACCGAATTTCAGAGAGCATAAGCCACGGGTTGACCAGAGCCAAGGCTTGGAGGCTACAGAGTGTGTGTTGGGATATTGCTGGTTTAACTGGCTAATACCACCTGGCTTGCCATTAATACAACTCCATTCATATGGTACCCTTCACATGGGGTGGCGTTTCGGAGCAGTGGATAGCACGATCTGGTAAGCTTATTGCTGCTTGTCCAGGTAGGATCAAATAATCTGCTAGCGCTGTAGCTTTCAAGTTAACTGGAACCAAGGGGGAAGACTTTGTGCTCAGTGACTGGTCTGCCACTTTCAAGTGCTATTGATGAGTCAGGTTGGTTGGTCTGTCATCGTCAATGCCCTGAAATACTACAGACCCACCTAGGTCAGGAACTAGACTACCGAAACTGCCGCAAACGGTTGACTCAATTCAGTTGCTAAGCATGTCCCCTTGAAGCCAGTTCAGCTCTGAGGAGACCTTGCTAACCACCCTCTAATTGAACCCACTTACCTACTATAAATACTAATTATAGTAATCAAAACATTCTTTGTGGCCGAGCTTTCAACTCGCTATAAGAACTATATCCTTTCATGTGGTTAACCTCGTGATGTTGCAGAGGAGCTGGAAACTAAGCAGAACTGAGGAAATTAAAATCAACAATATTATAAATAATAAATAATCCTTGCATTTGATATAGCGCCTTATCACATCTTCGAGACATCTCAAAGCGCTTCAGCCAGTTGTGCACAGCACTGTCCCATTGTCCCACAGTTGTGGATTGAGTGACAAAATTATTTTTATTTGAAGGGAAAATAACCCCCAGAAAAGCAATCTGCCAACAACCGGGTTCCTATTTATTGCTAGGTAAGCAAAGGCGTGTAGAGTAAGGAATCTTGCCCAATGTTTGCCCTGCCCAGGAATCAAACCCAGGTCCTCTCGCTTGCTAAAGGTAGAGATACTTGCAAGTCACAAAACTACAATAAACAAACAAACTCTTCCAAAACGTAGTGGCTATTTGTAAAATTCATTCCTGTCTCTCCATTCATTAAAAATATTTGTAAGATGGAAAAAAACAGCAAATGCAACATATTCCCTTAACTTGACTGAATTTGTACTGTATGAGGAGAGCACTTTTACCTTGTGAATCAAATGTCCTTTATGTGGCATTATTGACTCCTTAGGCAGGCATTGTGGTGTTTGACATTTTAATGTTCTAATTATTTTCAATGCATCAGTTATGCACTTGTGAATGTCTTCCTTTACTGAGTCCACCAGCTGAATTCTTATCCTTCTATGGCTTGCTGAACTTTTACCTCTATACATTGGCCTACGTCTATTCCCCTTCGAAAAATGCTGTTTATGGTAAGTGACATACATGTTTGCCTGTAGATTGTATGGTGTATGGCGTAAGTTGCCTTTTGCTTGTTTTATTGATCTTTTGTATTGAGACAGTGGAGCTTGAAGTCCATGTTCTGCCTCCTTTCTTCTGTAGGCGTTGGATCAAATAATCTATTAAGGTTCATTTGTTTCCTGAGCAGCATCAAGTGCTGTGTTATGAGAATGTACAGTGAATAGTAGTCAGTCATGATATGAAGCTAGGAGAACAGGAGACCATTCAGCCCATCATGCCTGTTCCACTAGTTTATTAGATCTTTTTAGTCCCATTGTCCTGCCTTTTGGGACATTATTACCTCTACTACCGAAGTATTTGTCTGTATCTCTCTTTTAAATATTGATTCTGGCTTTACAGTTTTCTGGGGGAAAATTGTTCTTCATGTTTACAACCCTCCATGTGTAGAAATGATGCACTTGAACCTCACAGGGTTGGCCAGTATACATTACCTTTGAATAGCGCTTTTCACATTGCGAGGCTGTCCCAAGGCGCTGGACAGTCAGGAATTGGGACCAAGCAGCAGATTGGGATCATGAGGGGTGGAGGGCAGGGAAAGTAGGGGTACGAGAGTGACCAAAGGCGTGTTGAAGATGGGGGCAAGAGAGGGAGCAAGGTGAAGGGACTGGAATGGAGTTCCAAAGGGTGAGAGCAGAGAGGCTGAAGGCCCGACCACCGATGGTGGGGCAGGCCGGGTGGGGGACGTGAAGCAGGCCAGAGCCTACTGAGCAGAGAGGTTGATATGTCATTAGCAGGTCACAGAGATATGAAGGTGAAGGCCGTGGGGGGCTTTGAAGGTGAGGACGAGGGTTTTGAACTCTATCCTCTGGGGGGTAAAGTGCTTTATAGATGCTGTTGATTTGTGAATATATCTTCTGTGAACCAGACACAATTGGTTACCTTTCTCTCTTTAGAGTCCCAGCTGAAAGATAACCCAGCCTTTTCCATGCTAAATGACTCTGATGATGATGTGATCTACGGGTAAGTTTGTCCTTTATATGGTGGTGACCTTTGTTTTGGTGGGGGCGGGGGTGGGGGGAGAAGAGAGAGAGAGTCACAGTATAGATTGTTCAAGGACTTTCTCATTCTGTTCCACTGTGAACTGTTTGAGCTGAGTTTCAGCCACTCCAAAACACTAGAACATTGCCTGAATCCCTCCATCTCGACTCCTTGGATCTTGTCTAATAAGACCTTTTGAAAATAAAATTTGATAATGCATTCTTATAATTGTTATTATCATTGTTATAATTATCCAATTTTGATTAAGAGATACTACAAATTGGATTTCACAAGTTTTGAACTGTTCTAAGTGCATTGATTAGATTCATCTTGATCATTTGACCCAAACTTCTTCAGGTTTAACTTTTAACTTTTCTACGTTAGGAGCGACTATGAAGAAATGCCTTTACAAAATGGTCGTGCCATTAAATCTAAGTACCAGGATGAATCTGACAGTGACTGAACAAAGGATCTCCAATGGCTGTACCCTAACCAGGAATAGATACACTACACTCGTGGGTTTGGAAAACGGAAGGATGAAATAGAATTTTCATTGAAATATTTTCTATGTGACCAATCTCATAACTACTTCAGTACCTAAGTAACTAAAATCACATCATGGTAACTTTACATGTGGTATTGTAAATATTTAACCTTCTCATGCACTTCTGCTAGCTGTTCTGTCTGATTCTTAGTACATTTTAAACAAACGACTGGTTTGTGATTAGGGAACGGGGATCCTGGGGCAAACCAGGTGCTGAAGGCATTTATAGTATTTCCTCTTTTATTTGCCTTCTTCAGGGAGGATGGGATGGAGAGAGAGAACACGTTTTATTATTGGAAACCAACACATGAAGCTTCTAAAACATCATTTGGTCTTACTCTGAACATGTGCAATGATATGAATGTTTTCTTGAGTGTTGTGGAACCTCTTTTTAAAATTACAAACTGATATACAAGATGAATGAGACTCACTAAAAAGATCAGATGTAGGGCAAAGATGTAATGAAATGATGTATTTTAAAGCAAATCAGGTTGCTACTTGGGATTCTTTATTTGGAACAATTTTAAAATCAAGAGTGTCTTAAATTTGTAATTTGCTGATGAAGAAAAATAAGTGCAAAAACAGGATCCTTGTTTCTTAATTTTAAGTGTGGATCAGATTACCTTTTAAGTATGAGGCTGTGCATAGTAACATTTGTTTGAAGAATACAGTGCAATATAGGAGCTAATAGATGCATTGGCTTACATTATTACCAACCATATCACAAAATGATAAAGGGAAACAACAGTTGTTTACTTGCTCATCATTGTGATAAATAACTAATTATTGTACTTCATCAATAAGAGTTAATCTATTCTGTGACATAGGAATATGCTAGAACTTTTAATTTCAGGAGCAACCTATATTAATATAGTATCCATAGTCTTCATGCACCAATTACATTCCAGGAAGGAACAATTTTAATTGCTTTGTTTCTGTAGAAATCTTTGAGGTAAAATTGGTCGTAAAGAGTTCTCTCTTCTGTTTTCCATTTCTCTTCCCCTGTTTTATTTACAAGTTTGATTGACTAGAAATGTGTATTTTTCTGTGGGTCTTAACTTACCGTGGATAAATAGATTCTGGTGCTCTAAAATCTAAATGAACGCACACATTCAAGGAAGTTCATGACCATTGATTGTGTGTATTTGTTTTTACAAATCTTTAATTGATCAGTTGTTGTCAGATTCCTGATGTCACATTGCATATTTACTGCCTAAATATCTCTCCAGTCTATATACAAATAGCTTTTGGGCATTTAGTACCATCATTGATCCTTACTGTGATTTAATAAGGTTTAACATTGGTACTAAGTATCTGAAGCAATTGTTTTGCCCACTAGTTATTAGATCCTGTTGCAGGTGAACATTGGTTTAGTTTTCTAAATATCACTCAATCTCCTCAGGAAAGTATGTGAGACCATTGTCATTTTTTTAAAGAAACAAATCATTTGAAAACCGTGTTATCTGACACCCTAGTGCAATACTAGGGGAGCAGAGGTGCCGTCTTTCAGATTAGATGTTAAACAAAAACCAAAGTCCTGTTTAGGTGGATCCTGAAGATTCCATGGTACTATTTGAAAAAAGAGCTTCTCCTGGTGTCATGGCCAACAATCTTCTACATAAAATTGGTCATTTACTTCATGGCTTTTGGTGGACATTGCTGTGTGCAAATTGGCTGCCACGTCCGCCTAGTCAATGCACAAGTCAATACACTTTACAGCAATTCCCTGGGAAACACTTAAAATGTTTTGACGTTACAGACCCAATGTAAAATGCAAGGTTTATTTATATTGTTGTTTGTTTAGTTGGAGTATTTACTATTTCCTAAGAGATCCACTATGTGAATTTAAGGTGAGACTTGTACCTTCCAGATGTATACATAATCTTGCTTGAATGATTTTCTTCCATTCTTTCTTGTTTGCTCCCAATCAAATCCGTGCAATGGTTATTTATATTCTTCCCTTGTTTAGTTCCTGTATTTTCCATTCCCAAAGAAGCTCGCAATGTAAGCTTTAGCTGAGACTTGTACATTCCTAATGAGGTGCACAAATAATCTTGGTTAATTTAACCGAATACCTTACATCTTCTTTTGTAAGGCACCAGAGGACACTATTAATATTATGCATGGAAGAACAGGACCAGTCTTAGCCATCTTCCTGCTTGTGTGTGCACAGTGCCAGAAGCCTATCTTGTTTGAGAACTTTATATATCAGCACTTTATTTAGCTTCACTTTTTATATCTTTACCCTACTTGTGTACGCATTTGGTTCCATGGTCCTGATTGCTGTCCAGTACCGCCCACAAATATTTATTTTATATGCGTGAGCTAAAATGGTGTCAGCAAGCTTTTCAGCTGTTTGGTGGTGCCATGTTATCCCGTTATTAATCTTATGAGCGAAACGGTAAAAGTTTGAAATAAATTTTAAAAGTTTTTGTTGAGCGTAAGTTCCCGTCTTCACCCAATGCCTACACACTGAAAAGCATCATTAAGAAACTTGGCTTTTTGCTTTCCTGTCTTCAGTCAAAGAAGCTTGGAATCCAATTCCTATGAGCCTTCTCTCACCTTGCTGACATCCACTACTTCCACCCAGACGTGGGAGCTACTTGGTGTGTGTGTGAATGTATGTGTATGTATATATATATATATATGTATGGTTGTTACCAACTGAGCCATTAGGAAGCCTTTTATATTCCATTTTCTAGTGTTTGGAGTAACTGCTGCCATTTAATAATTTATCACCACACATACAATGTGGGATGTTTCCGATTTTCCTGTGGATCACATTTAGAGGAAATTTGAAAGTTATTAAACAGAAACATTTCTAAATAATAGTGCAATATCAGCAGAACCTCAATGTGTTCTGCTGGTAACTTTACTCTTGGGTTGGTTGAAAAAGTGTACTAGTTTGATAATTTTGACCAATATACACCTTCATCATTTCTCAAGATGGGATCATGTGTTTAATCCCAGGATGTGGAAATCGACAGTTGAATCCCAGGTTATCCCATTGTTAATTTTGTGAGCAAATGGTAAACATTTGAAATAAATTTTAAAAGTTTTTGCTTGAACATCTAATTTTTTTGAAATAAACTGAATTGTGCCAACTGCCAATTTGCAGCCTTCAATGAGAAATAAAGTTGCAAAAGATTCGTAATATTTGACTAAATTAAATGTATGTTAAATTAATTGTACTGCGTTTGTAAAATAAATTGAATGTAGTAGTATATGTGCATCTACTGGGACTGTAAATATTGCAGCTAACAAAGTATTGTATGTGAGAAGCTAATAGAAGTGAACTTCTGAATCTTTGATTGGGATTCATTACTGCATTTTAAAATGGGAATATCTGATTACTTTAAGACTACTGAGCATTATTTGTATTGAGGCTCATTTAAATGAACAGTTATGTACATATCTAGGCTTATACCTAATTTGAGTTGATGCCAATAAAAAAACACTTTCAGTTGATTTTCTGGTTGTGACAATTTAACTTTCGAGGGAAATCATACTATTAGTTGTTATAAAGCTGATGTACTCATTCCACCATTAGCATTTTTACATTGTTATATTTTAGCAACCCTTACATTTTTATACATATATCCAGAGCTTGGAATCCACTTTGATTTCCATGCCGGGGCAAGCAGTTGTTGCTCAAACTCCATAATTACAACTGGTGGAATCATGGTTTAAAATGTAGGGTTGTGTATTTGACTTGCGGGCAGGAGAATGGCAGCAATGCTCCAATAGAAGGAAGCTTGTAAGGAGTTCCTAGTTCCTGCTATCCATCTAGTGTCTCAAATGTGAGAGAAAGGTGGTAGGTGAGGTAATGGGGGTAGCCCGGTCTTCCTTGGGCTGGGCTGGTTTTAGGGTGATGTGCTCAGCCACAGAACAAGAGAAATAAGTTAGTCTTCTGCTGGTCTTTGTAATCTGGTCCCTGAGCCATGTTGGTTTACAGTCCTCCAGGGCACTGAAACAGACCAGCCAGTCTGGCTTGTCAGCAGACTTGGGGTGGGAAAACAGTCACTGGGCCGAGATTCCTTCCCCTCAACTCCCGTTAAGCCTGCAAGCCAAAGCTCTCAATAGACTAGATAGGCAAGATGGACAAGTGGAAGGTATCTTGTCAAACTTCTGTCAATGGTGAACTATGTGGATTTAGCTGTAACCAATGCACGCTGATGGCCCCAAGCCTTGGCTATTGCTAACCTCCTAATACTCAAAAGAATGTCGAAACGTGGAACTTTCCATCTGTAGGTAGAATATGTAGGCTGAACTCTGTGGTTTGGATCAGAAGCATGGTAAGTTTTCACATGTCTAAGACACCCATCTGACCACATAAAATTACAGTTGGCTAACCTTGAATTTTAATCTGGAACTAATTATATAAGTATACCCTAAGAATTTGTTCCATTGACTTGATGAAATCAAGTTGGCTGTAGCTATTTAAAACAAATGAATATTTTTGGCAGCAATTTCATGAAAGGGTTTTTGTATGTAGTTTGGATGTTTAAACACTCAGGCTGTGAGCTTGTGCTCCAAACAATACTAATAAATCACAGCCGTGAATGTCTGCAATAATATTAGAATGGAAACCAGACGCTCATGTGATTTTAGACCCACTTATAACTAAAGAAATTTTACCAATTGAATTGTCCATGTGGGAGGGGACTTTTTAAGCTTCCATTAAAAAGAATCCCAGCTATTAAAATACCAATATTTTCAGACTGTAGGTAGTGCTTAAGACTTGCAACAGTGTACAATAATTAGTTCAAATGAAACAAGTTTATTTTAATGTTTTAACACAAAACATGAAAGGTTACAACAACTATGTTTCTTCACGAGTAGATGGAATGGATGCTTATGCAAAACAAATAGGAACAAGACACTCCATGTTGAATTGGACACTGTTAGAATATTTAAAAATAAGGATAGTAATAAAAGCAGCAATCAAGTGCTTCACAGTCCAGGTCTTTTAGGGAAGGATAGATGGGTTAAATATCAAGGATATAATGCAGCCAGAATCCAGGATTTAGATAGTTAGCCCAAAGACACTGACCAGGCAGTACATAGTCTTATTCTCCCATCTCACAGTGCAGCTCCCTGAAAGGTAAGAAATAGACCAATTACACACTGAGATGAGAACTAGACATTGCATTCTTGGGTTTTAGGCTCTTTCCTCCATTTCCCTCAATTCACTCTGCATCACATAGCATTCCCCTTCGGTATTTTAAATAAAGACTTGGCACCAGCGCTCTGTGAGCAGAAGGTAGACACACCTACTCAACATATTGTTGATAGGTATTTGTGGTATTTTAAGAAGCATCAATCAAATTAATTTCATAAAAGAACCAGCTGGAATCGAAGAGCTTCAAAAATAACACCTTCAGAATAAATAAAATCTTTAAATAAATGGATAGATTTGGATCACGGAAATAAAAAAAGCCACATTGCTTTGTGAAACTGCCTTTATTATTTGTACGTACCTCCAGTAGTTCTATTCACAGTAACTATTATTCACGGGTACAGAGCTAGCTGGCTATTGTCATTTGTTCAACCATTAAGACAAGTTTGGTTTTACATACCATCACCATTATTATCCCAGAAACAGGAACTAGCAGTGTGCAGTCCAGCTCCATTCTTCTGCATTATTGCCGAAGTCACTGAAATCAAATACACATTAAATGCAACAATGTGCTTTTTAGTGAAGCCTCAAGAATTTATTCACATAACATTTATCTGTGAAAAGGTCTGAAGTTGAAGCTGGATGCAAAGCAAGCAAAATACAGGCAAAAGTTCTGTGGTGCACATATACAAAGGTGACTGTGGGGTTTCAAGGAAATGCTCCAACCCCAGTTACACAATACTACAATACAGTCACTAGACTACAATAAATCCTGTGAAACGCTTTGAGATGTTTTGTTGATGAGATAAAGTGCTGTATGAAATTTGAGGATTATTACTAACAAAAACAACAAGAAATTGCATTTATATAGCACCTTTTACTTTAGGGAGATGTCCCAAGGTACTCGACAGTCGACGGCTTGGATGCGGGTTGGATTCAGGAGGGTGGGGGGGAAGTTGACCAAAGGTGCAGTCAAAGAGGAAGATCTTTTGAGACAAAACTTAAAAAGGTAAGGGAAGGGGCAAGGCAGATGGACTCCGAGATGGAGTGACACATTAAGTCAGGGTCGAGTTTTCAGCAGTTTACTGTATACATGTTGTGTGTATATTTTGGGGAGGAGATGAGAAAAAAATCTTTTAATAGGCATGAATTCACAAGCCCATGGTCCATTTCCTGTACTATATTGTTGAAGCTTTCTTCACCGTTCATTTCAAATTGTTGTTCAAGAATCCAGAGCAGTTACAAACTATAAATTACATAATACAAAGTATTGCAGTAAACCACAATATTCTGTTATTATTATTTGTTAAGTGCTTTGGGACATTCTTCCAACAGGAAAGGCACTGTATACATGTAAATTTGTATTGTAACTGTATTATATTTCACACCAAAGTCCAGGTATCTCAATCTGCTGGGAAGCTCGTTGATTAACACTCACCAATATACTTAAAGGGTTTGTTCAATTTTGTCAGTTGACTCAGACACATTTCCACTACGGTTGATGTCCAGTGGTTCACCCTGCTAGGTTGGTATGAATTCCCACCGATTGCAGTCTCTATGGACTGTAAAGAATAGAACTTTTCGGTGAACTTCAACTGACCATATTGCTAATAGACAAAAGTAGATTTGACATAGATTATGCAAAACACTTACCTCTTTAATAATGGCACTCACTTCATCTACAACAAATTCAGTCTGAAGAGAAAAAACAATATTGTTTAGTTTGTTCTCTGAAGATGATAATCCTCACTGAACTATGCAGTTAATTTACTGTATTCAATATACTGCACAACAGCTAAATGGCAATATAAATGTGGGTGGAAACAACTCAAAGCAAGCTGGAGCCAGTGTTGGAAGCTGGGTGGAGCAAGATTCTGGTTAGTGCAGATTCACAACAAAGACGCACTACACCGAAGGCATTAAATAAGAAATCTCCTGTATATATTTTCTTTCTCCACACCCACACACATATATATATTCAGTAAACTGATGACTCTACCCTGGCTTAACATATCACTAACACTTACGTCATCATGCTGTCAGTATCCTGGCCACACTCATATATATATATATATATAACTCATCACTCCAGATAACTTGTCACTGAGCCCTTTTCCCTTGGAATGATGAGTTATCAGGAGTTTACTTTATCCCTCTTCATCTCTCTCCATCCATCATTCACCCTCTATAAAACTCTTCTCACTGGATTCTCTCCCTATTATAACATATACAACTCTCTTGGTGTTTCTCTCCCTCCGTGTGTACAATAGTAATAATCCTTGTATTTGATATAACGCCTTATGTCTCCGAGACGTCTCAAAGCACTTCACAGGATATAGTGTAAAGTGAATTGACTATATGTTATGGTATACACGGTGTGTATGGTATGGCATAGACAGTGCGTATATGGTATGGTATATACAGTGTGTATGGTATACACAGTGTGTATGGTATGGTATGCATTGTGTGTATGGTATGGTATACATTGTGTGCATGGTATGGTATATACAGTGTGTATGGTATGGTATACATAGTGTGTATGGTATGATATATACAATGTGTGGTATGGTGTACACCGTGTGTGTGGTATGGTATATACAGTGTGTGTGGTATAGTATATACAGTGTGTGTGGTATGGTATATACAATGTGTGTGGTGCGGTATACACAGTGTGTATGTTATGGTATATACAGTATGTATGGTACATACAGTGTGTGGTATGGTATACACTGTGTGTATGGTATGGTATATACAGCGGGTATGGTATGGTATATACAGTGGGCGTGGTGTGGTATATACAGTGGGTGGGGTATGGTATGTACAGTGTGTATGGTATGGTATATATAGTGTGTATGGTATGGTGTACACAGTGCGTATGGTATGGTATATACAGTGTGTATTGTATATGCAGTGTGTGTGATATGGTATATACTGTGTGCATGGTATGGTATATACAGTGGGCGTGGTATGGTATATACAGTGTGTATGGTATGGTATATGCAGTGGGAATGGTATGGTATATACACTGGGTATGGTATGGTACATACAGTGGGTATGCTATGGTATATACAGCGGGTATGGTATATACAGTGGGTATGGTATGGTATATACAGTGTGTATGGTATGGTGTATACAATATGTATGGTATGGTATATACAGTGTGTAAGGTATGGTGTATACAGTGGGTATGGTATGGTATACACAGTGGGTATGGTATGGTATACACAGTGGGTATGGTATGGTATACACAGTGGGTATGTGATGGTATACACAGTGGGTATGTGATGGTATATACAGTGGGTATGGTATGGTATATACAGTGTGTATGGTGTGGTATATACAGTGTGTATGGTATGGTATATACAGCGGGTATGGTATGGTATATACAGTGGGTGTGGTGTGGTATATACAGTGGGTGGGGTATGGTATGTACAGTGGGTAGGGTATGGTATGTACAGTGCGTATGGTATGGTATATACAGTGCGTATGGTATGGTGTATACAGTGTGTATTGTATGTGCAGTGTGTGATATGGTATATACCGTGTGTATGGTATGGTATATAAGGTGGGTATGGTATGGTATATACAGTGGGCGTGGTGTGGTATACACAGTGGGTGTGGTATGGTATACACAGTATGTATGGTATGGTATACACAGTGTGTATGGTATGGTATATACAGTGTGTATGGTATGGTATATACAGTGTGTATGGTATGGTATATGCAGTGGGAATGGTATGGTATACACAGTGGGAATGGTATGGTATATACACTGGGTATGGTATGGTATATACACTTGGTATGATATGGTACGTACACTGGGTATGGTATGGTACGTACAGTGGGTATGGTATGGTATATACAGTGGGTATGGTATGGTATATACAGTGGGTATGGTATGGTATGCACAGTGGGTATGGTATGGTATATACAGTGTGTAGGGTATGGTATACACAGTGGGTATGGTATGGTATACACAGTGGGTATGGTATGGTATACACAGTGTGTATGGTATGGTATATACAGTGTGTATGGTATGGTATATGCAATATGTATGGTATGGTATATACAGTGCATACACGATATGATACATACAGTGTGTATGGTATGGTATATACAGTATGTATGGTATGGCATATATAGTGTGTATGGCATGGTATATATATACAGTGTGTATGGTATGGCATATACACAGTGGGTATGGTACGGCACATATAGCGTGTATGGTATGGTATATATACAGTGGGCATGGTATGGTATATACAGTGGGTATAGTATGGTATATACAGTGTGTATGGTATGGTATATACAGTGTGTATGGTATGGTATATACAGTGTGTATGGTATGGTATATGCAGTGGGAATGGTATGGTATACACAGTGGGAATGGTATGGTATATACACTGGGTATGGTATGGTATATACACTTGGTATGATATGGTACGTACACTGGGTATGGTATGGTACACACAGTGGGTACGGTATGGTATATACAGTGGGTATGGTATGGTATATACAGTGGGTATGGTATGGTACGTACAGTGGGTATTGTACGGTATATACAGTGGGTATGGTATGGTATACACGGTGGGTATGGTATGGTATATACAGTGGGTATGGTGTGGTATATACAGTGGGTATGGTATACACCGTGGGTATGGTATGGTACATATATACGGTGGGTATGGTATGGTATATACAGTGGGTATGGTATGGTATATACAGTGGGTATGGTATGGTATATACAGTGGGTATGGTATGGTATATACAGTGGGCATGGTATGGTATACACAGTGGGTATGGTATGGTATACATAGTGGGTATGGTATGGTATATACAGTGGGTATGGTATATACAGTGGGTACGGTATATACAGTGTGTATGGTATAGACAGTGTGTATGGTATATACAGTGCGTATGGTATGGTATATACAGTGGGTATGGTATGGTATATACAATGTGTATGGTATGGTATATACAGTGGGTATGGTATGGTATGTACAGTGGGTATGGTATGGTATATACAGTGGGTATGGTATGGTATATACAGTGGGCATGGTATGGTATACACAGTGGGTATGGTATGGTATACACAGTGGGTATGGTATGGTATACACAGTGGGTATGGTATGCACAGTGGGTATGGTATGGTATATACAGTGGGTATGGTATGGTATATACAGTGGGTTTGGTATGGTATATACAGTGTGTATGGTATGGTATATACAGTGTGTATGGTATGGTATATACAGTGGGGTATGGTATGGTATATACAGTGGGTACGGTATACACAGTGGGTATGGTATATACAGTGGGTATGGTATGGTATACACAGTGGGTATGGTATGGTATACGCAGTGGGTATGGCATGGTATACACAGTGGGTATGGTATACACAGTGGGTATGGTATACACAGTGGGTATGGTATGGTATACACAGTGGGTATGGTATGGTATACACAGTGGGCATGGTATGGTATATACAGTGGGTATGGTATATACAGTGGGTATGGTATATACGACGTGTATGGCATATACAGTGTGTATGGTATATGCAGTGCGTATGGTATGGTATATACAGTGCGTATGGTATGGTATATACAGTGTGTATGGTATGGTATATACAGCGTGTATGGTATGGTATATACAGTGGGGTATGGTATGGTATACACAGTGGGTATGGTATATACAGTGGGTATGGTATATACAGTGGGTATGGTATGGTATACACAGTGGGTATGGTATGGTATACACAGTGTGTATGGTATACACAGTGGGTATGGTATATACAGTGGGTATGGTATATACAGTGGGGTATGGTATGGTATACACAGTGGGTATGATATGGTATACACAGTGGGTATGGTATATACAGTGGGTATGGTATATACAGTGGGTATGGTATGGTATACACAGTGGGTATGGTATGGTATACACAGTGGGTATGGTGTGGTATATACAGTGGGTATGGTATATACAGTGTGTATGGTATATACAGTGTGTGTGGTGTGGTATATACAGTGGGTATGGCATGGTATACACAGTGGGTATGGTATGGTATACACAGTGGGTATGGTATGGTATACACAGTGGGTATGGTATGGTATACACAGTGGGTATGGTATGGTATACACAGTGGGTATGGTATGGTATACACAGTGGGTATGGTATGGTATACACAGTGGGTATGGTATGGTATACACAGTGGGTATGGTATGGTATACACAGTGGGTATGGTATGGTATATACAGTGGGTATGGTATGGTATACACAGTGGGTATGGTATGGTATACACAGTGGGTATGGTATGGTATACACAGTGGGTATGGTATGGTATACACAGTGGGTATGGTATGGTATACACAGTGGGTATGGTATGGTATACACAGTGGGTATGGTATGGTATACACAGTGGGTATGGTATGGTATATACAGTGGGTATGGTATGGTATATACAGCGGGTATGGTATATACAGTGGGTATGGTATATACAGTGTGTGTGGTGTGGTATATACAGTGTGTATGGTATATACAGTGTGTATGGTATATACAGTGTGTGTGGTGTGGTATACACAGTGGGTATGGTATATACAGTGTGTATGGTATATACAGTGTGTGTGGTGTGGTATACACAGTGGGTATGGTATATACAGTGTGTATGGTATATACAGTGTGTGTGGTGTGGTATATACAGTGTGTATGGTATATACAGTGGGTATGGTATATGCAGTGTGTGTGGTGTGGTATATACAGTGGGTATGGTATATACAGTGGGTATGGTATACACAGTGTGTATGGTATATACAGTGTGTATGGTATACACAGTGGGTATGGTATACACAGTGGGTATGGTATATACAGTGGGTATGGTATATACAGTGTGTGTGGTGTGGTATATACAGTGTGTATGGTATATACAGTGTGTATGGTATATACAGTGTGTGTGGTATATACAGTGTGTATGGTATATACAGTGTGTGTGGTGTGGTATACACAGTGTGTATGGTATATACAGTGTGTGTGGTGTGGTATACACAGTGTGTATGGTATATACAGTGTGTGTGGTGTGGTATATACAGTGTGTGTGTATGGTATATACAGTGGGTATGGTATGGTATATACAGTGTGTGTGGTGTGGTATATACAGTGTGTATGGTATATACAGTGTGTGTGTATGGTATATACAGTGGGTATGGTATATACAGTGTGTATGGTATATACAGTGTGTGTGGTGTGGTATACACAGTGTGTGATATGGTATATTATATATCTCTCTCTCACCTCTTCTCCGCTCTGAAACTCGTCCATGTCTGTGGCCGCTCCGCGCACGCGCACTCTCCTCTCACTAACGGCCCAGATTTAAACCACAAACAATGCCGGAGGCGGGGCTTAGCCGAGCAGCAATACGCGTGCGCAGCCCCGTCCTCCTGATTGGACATTGTGCAGAATTCTGTCCCGGACCGGGAACCGCCCCTCCCTCCCGGCTCGGTGTCCAGGCTCTGCGCATGCGCCTGTTACTGCCCTCACTGTACAGTACACTCTGCTCCCACCCTCAGCTGTTCCTCCCTCTGCCCACACCTCAGGGAAACATCCCAATGCACTGAACAGTATTGTCCTGGAACATTGGTGCAGCCGTGATAAGGCGCTATATCAAATGCAAGGATTATTATTAATAATACTAATCCGACACAATTGCTGGGAAGGTTAATTATACATTTACATAGGCTCTGGGATCTTCATTAGCACAAGATCATCAAACTGACAAGTCCACTCCCTCCAGTGCCAGTTTTGCTCATGCACTTTCATTGTAAACCTGTTCCCTGACCGGTAAAAGGTAATTGTGTGAAAATCTACTTTAATACATGGTATCATTTGGGCTCCAGTTTGCCTCGTTGCTCTCTATACAACATATTACACAATTTACACTTGGATAGCGGATTTCACATGGGGGCGGGGGGACATTGAAAGCGCCTGATGCAGTTGACATTCACATTTACTCAGCAGCATGGAAGCCAAACTTTCTATTTTTTGAATCGATTTACATGTTTAAATGTAAAGATGATCAGTTTGTTGGTGATTCTTGTACTAATTGCTAAGATAATGCAGATCTGTTCACATGAAATTGATTTTAAAATAATTCCCATGACACTGATGGTCAGTTGGAGCAGATGCCAGGAACAGCCACAAGCAGCCTGCCCCAAAGAGTGCGCTCAGTTGTTGCTGCACAATCACAAAGATTCATTCGTATTATAGTAGTAATAATTCTTAATAATAATAACTCTTGCAGTTAATATGCACCTTATCACGCCATTGTAATGTCTAAAGTGCTTCACAGGATTTTACTGTGAACTCCAGTAATTGTGTATTTGTGGAAGCCAATACACGCATAGCAATGATCCACAAACAGTCATGGAGTGAGTGACCAATTTTATCTGGGGGAATGTTGGCCAGGACACCAGGAGGAAATACCCTTCGCTTTTTGAATCGTGCAATAGGATCTTTGGCCACTTGGATCGGTAGATGAGACCTCGGTTTAATGCTCCTTCAGCTCTAACGCTGTCAGCTCAAAGTTCAATTGTGAAACTTTAAAATACTATGAGATTTATAATGTTATTTATTGTGGGCTGGTACACAGGACAATTTTAACAATAAATAATTATATGCTTATCAAGATGAAAATTAATTTTGGAAATGAAATATGTCCTACTGAGGACCAATGACAGCCTCGAGCACTCCCAGATTAGCCCGAACACAGCAACAACTTGCATTTGTTTATTTTGCACCCTTCTTGCAGGGTAGCATATCGGAGTAGCAGGCAGACTCTGAACTATAGGGGTTGGCCGAGCAGGGAAGAAGGAGGAGGGGAAGGTGACCATAGACATGGTCAAAGAGGTATGTTTTAAGGTGGGAGCTAAAAGCAGAGTGGGGGTGAGGTGGAAAGACTGAGGCACAAGTTTAGATCACGTTTAATGCATAATTTGATTGATTTTTAACATGTCACATACAATTATGTGTTGTTAGCCAGCTGGGTCCAAATTTTTTTAATGTACATCCATCTGGCATTCTATCACGTGAAGCTGATCTACTTGTATTGGATCAATATGGAATGGTTTGTGGGTGAGTGAGTACAATGATTCCCTATTATGATCTGCCCTTTTCAGTTATGGTTCAAAGTCTATTCTTGCACGCAAACAATCTCCTTTGACTAAACATGACGTGAGATGATGTGATTGAATGATTCATACCTCTAGAGAAGCCTTTTTTTTGCAATATTGTAGACTTATTGAACCAGCCCTTCAGATGGATGTGTCCACTTGCCTCACCTCAACATTTTAGGCGACTTTAGTGTTGGGATATAGAGATTCCCCTATAATCATTCAGAATAGAACAAGATTTTTATATCCATTCTTTTAAGATATGTTTAATTAATTGTATTAACAGGTCAAAATGGCCACCAAATTAGCTTTCTTACTAACGGAATGTGGCACAAGCTGGAAACACGGTACCCGTTACCTCTTCTCTCTCCAGATGCACATTGCTGAGTGTTATTGTAACCTTGGGTATCAGTTAGAAATGGAGAGAAAAAGGTCTGCAAAACATCATGTGCTAGGCCTAGGAAGATAAGGAGTAGACTTCCCAATAGGCCAGTCCCGAATAACATCATTATAGACAAGAAAATGGAGACTCACCTTATCAACACTGGTCAGGCTGGCGCCAGGCCAATGACTGATTAGGATGAGTACTTGCAGGGTAAGTTGTGAGAGGGAAGAAGGTATCTGGCAAAAATCCAGAAACAGGTATAATTAGCGAAGAGAGAGAGAGAAGTTAGTTCGTCCCGGCTGGCAGGAGGGGAGCGAGGAAAGTACACCAGCGAAACCAGGGCAAGCGTGTGACAACAGCCAAGAAACTTTTCTTCCACTTTTGTTCTACGCGGATTAACCGGTAGTATGCTCTTCTTTACACACTATTACGCCAACTGTCTTATAATAAAAGAATTATTGCACCACCTTGGATTGTTGGGTCATATTTCGAACTCTAGGGATCGGAAATCCCAACATTAGGAAGGATGTCAAGGCATTGGAGAGGGTGCAAAGGAGATTTACCAGGATGGTACCAGGAATGAGAGACTTCAGTTATCAGGAGACATCCTTCCTAAAGCGTGGTGCCCGGAACTGAACACAATACTCTAGCTGAGGTCTAACCAGTGTTTTATAAAGGTTCACCATAACTTTCTGACTTTTGACTCCCTACCAATCTTCCCGCTCCCTCCATTCAGCAGGCTCCTGCCTGCTCCATGTCTCCCGCCCAGCCCTTGGTGGCCGAGCTTTCAGTTCTATTTTGTCCCTATTTATAAAACCTAGTGTTCCGTATGCTTTTTTAACAGCTTTATCTACCTGTCCTGCTACCTTCAAAGATTTGCTTATGTGAACGCCCAGGTCTCTCTATTCCTTCACCCCCTTTAAGATTGTACCATCAGCTTAGTCCTGTAGCTCAGTGGTTAGAGCACTCGCTTTGCAAGTGAGAGACCTGAGTTCAATTCCAGGCAGAGGGCGAAACCTTGGGCAAGTTTCCTTACTCCACACAGAGCCTAATAATAATCCCTCCAAAACCAAAAACAATAATAAATTGGTCATTTTCAATCTACGACTGTTTGTGGGACATTGCTGTGCGCCATTGGCTGCCGCGTTCGCCCACAAATATACAGTTAATTCACTTTACAGTGTGTTCTGTGAAGCGCTTTGGGACGTCCTCCCGACGTGAAAAGCGCTATATCAAATGCAAGGATTATTATTATTATTATTATTATATTGCCTCTCCTCATTCTTCCTCCTAAAATGCATCACTTCTCATTTCTCCACATTAAACTTCATCTGCCACATGTTTGTCTATGTCCTCTTGCAGTCTGCTACTGTCCTCCTCACTGTTTACTACTTTTCCTAGATTAGTATCATCTGCAAACTTGGAAATAATACTCACTATACCCAAGTCCAGGTCCATTTATATAGATCAAAAACAGCAGTGGTCCCAATACCAACCCCTGAGCCATACCACTACACACTTCCCTCCAGTCAGAAGAACAACTGTTCACCACAACTCTTTGCCTTCTGTCTCCCAGCCAGTTCTGTATCCATGCTGCCACTATCCTTTTAATACCATGAGCTTCTATTTTGCTTACTAGTCTCTTATGTGACACTTTATCAAACCTTTTTAAAAATCCATATAAACTACATCGACTGCACTACCTTCATCCACCCTCTCCGTTACTTCATCAAAAAACTCTTATCAGGTTTGTTAGACATGATTTGCCTTCAACAAATCTGTGTTGGCTGTCCTTTATTAACCCATATTTTTCTAAATTAAAATTTATTTTGTACCGGATTATAGTCTCTAGAAATTTCCCCACTGCTGATGTTAGGCTGACTGGCCTGTAGTTCCCAGGTTTATCCTTCTGCCCCTTTTTGTACAGGGGAGTAACATTTGCAACCTTCCAGTCCTCTGGCACCACCCAGATGTCCAAGGAGGATTGAAAGATTGTGGCCAGAGCCTGTTATTTCCACCCTTACTTCCCTCAGTAACTTGGGATACATCCCGTCTGGACCGGGTGACTTATCAACTTTGAGCCATCAAATCAATCATCAATCTTTCTAGTACCTCCTCTCTGTTTATTCTTATCCAATTTCTCTACACTCTCCTCAGATACCGTGGGATTGGCTGTATTCTCTTTTTTGTGAAGACAGATGCAAAGTACTCATTCAGTATGTCAGCCATGGCCTCTGCCCCCACAAAAAGATTTCCTCTTTGGTCCCTAATTGGTCCCACTTTACCTTTGACTAACCTTTTATATGCTTATAGAATAGCTTAGGGTTCCCTTTTACGTTACCTGCTAATCTTTTCTCATACAGTCTCTTTGCCCCTCTTATTTCCTTTTTCAGTTCTCCTCTGTACTTTCTATATTCTATTTGATTATCTTCTGTATTTTGGACCTGACATTTATCATAAGCCTCCTTTATCTGTTTTATTTTAATCCCAATTTGCTTAGTCATCCAGGGAGGTTTGGAAACCCTACCTTTCCCCTTTGTAGAAATGTATTTGTTCTGTCCATGAACTATCTCCTCCTTGAAGGCTTCCCATTACTCATTAGCTGTTTTACCAATCTTTCTTTCCAGTCCACCTTGGTTAAGTCCGTTTAAACCTTCTTCCTCTATGAATTTTTTTTGGGGAAAATAGCGTATCCAGTTTGTTTCTATTTTCCCCCCAATTGGCATATGCCGCTTGCTCCTGGTAGCCTGCCATTGTTAATAATGTGTGAACGTTAGCTGTGACTGTTGGCTGGCCACTGGACTGCAGAGGGCGTCACAGCTGAGCCTGATCTCATAAGCCGCAGCTCTATCTGCTACATCATTGGGTGATTCCCTTCTATTAATACCCTTGATCTCACTATGGCTTCTGATCTCAGATGCTCACATCTCTAGCTGGCTCCAATACACTCATTCTATCATGACAGATATTTATTTTTTCCTCAAAAGATCCCAGACTTGAATACTGCTCCCATATCTGGGGATGTCTTTTTAGCACTGCTCTTGTATTCCTGGTCAAAGTTCAAGTAAAATCTTGTCATCTGTTGTTTGATCCTGTGGTCTCCAACCTCACTCCCACTTGTCTTGCACCCTTTCTTCTTCACTTGGGGTAATGTCTGTGGCATTTCATAGCATATTTGTTATGTTAATTTTATCCTTATGTCACCGAAATAATAATCCTTGCAATAATCATGACTTTTCATGTCAAACCATCTGCAAAATGTGGTGATTGTGTATTAGTGGGTGGAGTTAGCAGGTAATTTGTGTACAGACCGAAACACAAACAGTACTTGCTTCCTTGCTGTTTATGGAACTTTTGTTATCTGCCAATTGTTGGCCACGACAAGAGAAGAAACTTTCCTCTTTTCCAATAGTGACACTGGGCTGAGATGATTTCAGGACATGGCTATTGGAGAAGCACTAGAATATGTCTATATAAACTAATTGGCCACCATCGAAGGCTTAATCACAGAATGATGGAGCTGGACGACACATTGCACATCTTTGCGCAGTGGCTCAGGAATGTAGCAATGTTTCGGTTTGAGAAGGAAACCTGACCACATAGCAGGTGACCACTTTTTTTTCCCGACCACCACACCTCCAGTGGGGAGATTTCCACCTGGGTCTAGATTTGCTTTATTGTCTTATAATTTCAGAGCGCCGAGAACTTGGGCAAATGCTCAAATACAACTGGTTGTTGATTGTGAAGCCGGTTTTCTGTAAAGCTGCAGAAAAATGATCTCAACATTAAGCCTAAATTCAACAATTTACTAAATTCTGTGCACTCTAAACAGAATAAGTCTAGATCTAGGTGAAATTTCACCTCTTATATGGTAGGTATCTGCCTCAATGGGACTGTGGGTTGACTGAGGACAACAATGGCTTTTTCTGTAAAATGCCCTTGATCCTGACCACAGTGGAGTTGAGGTCAGTGTAGATGCAGAACTTGGCAGATCAGATAGTTGACAGGGAATATAAAGAAAATGACAAAAGTGCACCAAATAAATAAAAAATAATATTTGTTGGATGATCTGGACTTGAATTCATGCAGAATTTAAATTATGGATTTTGGGGTTAGTGACAGCAGGATCTATGCTTCAGGACTTTATAAATAAAGAGTTTGAAGCCGGGACTGTGGACTCACTTAAATATCAGCTTTATACTGTGATGGGAGGATGGTAGGGTGGGTGTTTTGAAGTGATGAGATCAGATCCTGAAAAGCCTTCTTTATCCAAACTCTGTTGAGTTTGTTGAATCATTGAACCTGCGAAACAGCAGAAGTTCATCTGAAATGTTGTATGATGAATCATCACATCTCAATAAATATTCCAAGCAAAGTGCAATGCAACTTTAGTTTCCTGATATAAGAAGGACGCATGTTAAGGGGGAATTCCTGAAAACAGACTCAGTTTATGTATTAAACATTTATTTCCAAAAGCATTGAGACTTTGCAACTTGCAGTTAGTAGAGCATTGATCGAGTCTGTGCCACTGACAGCACTGCAGAGGCAGTGCAGGTCACTGGGGAGGCAGAATTGCAATAGTTCGCTTCTGCACTTTCTGGGTGAGTCCATGGTGATATCTGAAGAGGAAGGAAAAGCCAGCGACGTCTGCTTTTCCGTCTGAGATTAACTCACCAGCTGCCAGCTTGTCAGAGCACACGCAGGCTCATGGGGAACAGAGATGTTTCATCTGACGCTGGATGGATCACGCAGGGAGATTCTGTGAGATTTAACACTGATGTTTCAGCCACTTGAGAAGTTGGTGAGGGTGAAGTTCACAATGTGTGAAGGGTGACTGATGTGAGCAGATTTTTCAGCACAGGGGTAAGTGGGTGCTCAAGACATTTAATTCTGCTGAAGATGCTAGAAATTTGGTGTCAAGGGGTTTCGTTGGGGATAGCTTAGCTGGTTAGACTCCAGCAGTACCCAACGCACACTCTGGGGTCCCAAAGCCTTGTCTATTGCCACCCTGTGCCTAATAATCTTCAGAATTAGGTGCTGGAGGTGTGCTACATTTTTAAGAGGTACTTTCCTTTGGATGAGATGATAAACAAGGTCCTGTCTGTCTATTCAGGTGAATGAATATTAAAAATCCCATGGCACTACTCAAAAAGAGAAGTAGTTTCTCATAGTGTCCTGGCCAACAATTCCCCAGAAAAAAATTGGTCTTTCGCTTCATGGTTGTTTGTGGACATTGCTGTGCACAAATTGACGGATTTGTTTACAAAATATGCATTCACTGTATTTTACAATAAACCCCGGTGAAGTACTTTGAGATGTCCTCCCTACTTGAAAGGCGCTATACCAGATATGAAGATTATTTATTTATTATCCCAAATTCCTGTAAATGAATCATGCTAGAAACTCCTTTGAAAAATGCTTTGGAACCTTTCCTGTAAACATTTGTGTTGTCTTTTTGGGAATTTGTGTTGAGTTCCAATGAATGAATGCAGTGATGCTCTAGGGGTGGGTGCACTGCCCAGGATTACATGGTGCACAGACCTAACGCTGACAGTACTGCTGCCCCCACTACGCCTAGTTTTGCTCCACTGTCAGCTATTACCCAGACAGCGTCACAGGCTGGGCTTCTCGGCCAAATACATCACATTCCTCTGGAAACTCAGCAGATCTGTTTGTGAGTAGCCGATTGAAAATTCGTCCTTTTTTTCAAACAAAAAAATATTGATTTCCCTTGGAAGAGAAATAATACAATAAACAAATGCAATATACTGTTCACACAAAGAATCTTCACAGCAGTGCCAAAGGCATTTCTATTTTGCTTTGTGGACCATTAACCTCCTGGGAAGTTTCGTCATTGTCTCCTGTGCACATCTTCTTTAGGCTTTGCAGTGAATTGCCTCAACCACATCTCTCAGGAGAACCACTTCACTTCATGGCAGCTAGACGGTTCTGTTAGCGGGTATTTATAAGCACTGCCAAGGTAAATTATTTAACTTATCTCAGCGTCGTAATATAGTACTATATCATATGCAAGGATTATTATTATCATAAGTTGCTGTGCCAATTACTCCGTATTGAACATTTGTTGGGGAATATTCCATTTTATTTTGTTACCATTTAATATCCATTTTGTCTCATCTGTCCACTCGCTTTCACTGGTTTGTTTACCTGCAGCCCACAGGTGATATGAATAACTTCTCTCGGAGGAGGCCCGAGGGAATGAGACTTGCTGAAGTCCCTCGTTCTGTTTAGTGAAGTCAGAACGAGAACCCTTTGGGATTGTGAGGTGCAGGTTGCTCATGCTCAATTCTGCTTCTTGTGGAGCTGAATGATGAACTCCTTCCTGGTGCTTTAAAACTAGCTGCATTTGTGTCTTGTAGAGGCTCTGTAGAAAATTGGAGGTAAAAAGGCAAGTGAATTGTTTTGTTCTGGTCACATTGTTTATAAGTAATAATAATAATCATCCCTACATTTGATATAGCATCTTTCATGTTAGGAAGACATCTAAAAGTTCACAGGATACATTGTAGAGTCTAATAACTGTATTTTATAGGTGAATACTACAGCTCATTTACACACAGCAATGCCCATAAATTATTTTTAATAGGGTATTAGGTAGCCAGAGGGCCAATTTCACCCGCGCCCCCCCACTCCATTTTATCTGGACCACCTGAACAGGAAATTGCATTGCTGATAACTACGGATAAGCTTGAAATAAATAATATCATGCAATCTATTTCATGCAGGAGGGACAGATCAGCAGAAGACAACCTGTAAATGTTATGTTTCTGGAAGAGAAACAGAAAAACATTGCCTTTGAGGCTTGCAGACATTTCTCAAATAGGAATCCGGCTTTCAGCAGCCAAAAGGTTGGACCACCCTATTCTAGAATATTTGCAGAAACACAATAATTTTCTCCTGCTGATCTGTCCCTCCTGAAATAGATTGCATGACTTTGTTTATTTCAAGCTTATCCGTAGTTGTCAGCAATGTAATTTCCTGTTCATTAACGTCCAACATCATTGGTGCTGTGGTTCTGTGGTTTTGAGAAGTTTATTTCAACCGGAAACTAGTTAAGGCGAGTGTTCAATTCAAAGCTAATGGATCCTTTTGTGCAGTTAGAATGATAAGAACATCTACCCTAACAAGGAATGTTGCGTGTGTAACAAGTAATCAAACAGGATTATGTTGGCCTGCAACAGGTAAGTTTCAATTCATAAAACTGATCCTCCGTTTTGTAAGATGTATGGTTTATTGGAGTAGAGTGTTCCTTAAAAGTGATGGTTTTGCAGGATAGCTTCCAAATCCCTCAGCAAAGGACCTGAGCAGCTCTCAGTTTATGAGGGCAGCCAGCTTCTCGTAGAGTTTATTATAGAGCACAAAATGGAGAGTCACAGATTAGCCAATATTCTGTGATTGAGGAAGAGAGGATGGCGTCTGACTGACATCCCAGTAAGTTATATGGATCTCCTTTACAACTTGGAATAAGCTCCTTATTCAACATACAGAATGAGGACAGGGGTGATAAAAATAATAATCCTTGCATTTGATATAGAGCCTTATCATGTCTTCTAGGCGTCTCAAAGCGCTTCACAGAATATGCAGTAAAGTGAATTGACTGTGTATTTTGTGGGTGAAATGCAGCAGTCAATTGCACACAGCAGCGTCCTACAAACAGTCGTGAATTGAATGACAAAATTAAAAAAAAATTATGAAAGGGATTACTAGCCCTGGAAAAGCGATCCTCTAATACACTAACAACCGGGTTCCTACTTACTGCTAGGTAAACAGAGGCATGTGGAGTAAGGAAACTTGCCTAACGTTTCGCCTGCCTGGGAATCAAACCCGGGTTCTCTCACTTGCGAGACGAGTGCTCTAACCATTTAGCTACAGGACTGTAGGTTGGAGAGATCCTTTCCTATTGTTTCAACCTTTGGTCTGCTGAAGTTCCTGGCTGACATCTTGACTATCGGTGAGCTTAAAATATTCCCGAGATGATTTTAAACTGACTCGGAATTGTTTCTTTCACTAGCGAGCCCAAGACTTTGAAATCAGAAAGCTATTGAAGCTGAAGAGACAAATGAGCCTCGGTGAGCCTTGATTATCTAAAGGAAGGGCTGGACAGGACACGCAGTGTTTGGCTTGCTTCAAATGTAAACCCCCAGTGTTCCTAGTGTCAGGGTGCAGGTCCTTTCTGAGATAATATCCTGCAGGCTGTAGAATTCGGTGGGGGGGGGGGGGGGGGGGGGAGGGGAATTGTGGTGAGGCCCTTGATCTGTTAAGAGGTCTGCAAGGTTAAATAGAGCACCAATTACATTGAAGGGGTATGAACCAGCCCTTAGTTTGTGCTGTAATTGTAAAAGTATGCAGCATAGCATTAATCTTTTTGAACACATTAATTCTTAAGGTTCCTGCCCTGAGATCACTTTAACCTCTTGTGGTAAGAGAATAATAATTTTTGCATTTGATGTGGCACATTGTCACATCACTGAGATGTCCCAAAGCACTTTATAGAATATACTTTAAAGTGGTGTGACTGTGTGTATTTTGTGGGCACAATATTGCAGTCAGTTTTATCACAGCAATGTCCCTTCCCACAAACAGACATGGAGTGTATGATCACTTTTATTTGTTGGATTGTTGCTAGGACACCAGGAGAAACTTCCTTCTCTTTTCAATTAATACCAAGGGATCTACCTGACAGGTAGATGGAACCTCGGTTTAACATGTCACCAAAGACCAGCAGCCCCGATAATGCAGCAAGATCTCAGCACTGCACTGGAATGTCAGCTTAAACTATATAAGTTCCAACTTTGCGAGTCCATGTCCCTACATCTAAATGAGTTCTGATTGCTACGAGGGTATGCTCCACTGTCATGGAGAGTGAATTTTTACTAGGGTTGCTTTAAGAGACTAAGCAAAGAGTAACAAATAAACTAAAAGACTAATACTGTCAACTGCTTTTACTTTGTCAGTCAATGATGCACGCAGTGTGTTGTCATTTCTAGACCTTTTATACAACACACGAATAAAAGAAACCCGCTGTGGCTCCAGCTCGTGGAATGTAAGGGTCACATTGGTTGTTTCACTGTGAGCTGGAAAAGATGATTCATTCTGGTTGGTATTATTGTGTAGTGATACCACAATAAGCTGGTGTCAGTGCTTGATCAGATTAGAACAGATTACATCAGTACAATGTTGCACAAGGCGTGCAGGATGTTCTGAGAGGTTAGCTTCTTTCTTTGTCGAACAAGTTGTCCACTTGGAAAGCAACTGCCCTCTGTGCTTCATCCCCCACACTCCAATTGCTAACTGATACATACAATACCAATACCGCACAATACAGGGAGAAAACTGGAAAGGAAAAAAGCATGCTAATTTGACCTGTCGTCCTATGGTTTTAACACTAACCTTTGATCTCTGGAGATCTGAGGTTAAACGTAAGACTCACGCAAAGAAAGGTTTCTTATCTCTGGTTATTATGAGTTCTTGTGAAATATATTGAGACAATTTAAGCCAATTTACCAAAGGAGTGAAAAACAGTGAAAAATGGGCCTCATTCACCAGCAAGTGGGCACTCTTACTCAGAGCAGAATGATGTTTGAAATTCAAATGACGTACAAATGATAGTTTGGCCTTTGACTCTAAATTTGGAGTTAATTCAAATTCTTGGAAGAGTGAGTGAGGCTTGCATTGCACGTTATCTGTGCTACTACTGCCTCTTTGCACAATGCTCCGAATTATGATAAGAGTCTTCCTGTTCGTGACTTAGCTTGTTCCCAATATTTCCGGTGCAGTTATCTGCATTTATAGCATCACAAATACAATTGAAGCATCAAGTCTTTCTACTGAAAATTACAATTGGACTGAGCTCTGTGTACATCAGATGACAGCTTGGGATAGTTCTTTTTATCACTGTCTGGGTGAGCACAGGAGAAACTAGATAGCCGCCAAATTGATTTGTGTTAGAGAGGAGTGCTAAACAAAGAAACATTAACATTGAACCAAGCAAAATAGCTGTATGAACAGGATCTTGGAATTAGAATCAGTGAGATTTCTCTGTTCTACGTTCAGCCTTTTGTTCCTGTGACGTTTCCTCAGTTGGTAATGTTGATTGTTATGGCTGTTTTCTTTGGGCAATCATGTGGCAGACAGTTCAAGTGTTGAAGTCCATACATTTTCAGATTTTTACTCCTTGTTTTACCAAGGCATTCAAAATGACTTTGAATATCCTGTCCATCTGTGACCAGGGCTCCCTCTGCCTCCTCGTCCTCCTTGACCTCTCTGCTGCCTTCAATACCATGGACCACTCCCATCCTCCTCCACTGCCTCTCCTCTCACTTCAACCTTCAAGGTTCTGTCCTTGAATGTTCAGGTCTTATCTCTCACACCATCGCCAATTTGTCTCCGCCAAAGGTTTCTCTTCCAGCCCCCGCACAGTCTTGTGTGGTGTTCCTCAGAGCTCTATCCTCGGTCCCCTCCTCTTCAACCTCTATATGCTCCCCCTTGGTGACATCATCCGTAGACATGGGGTCAACTTCCACATGTACACGGATGACACCCAACTCTGTCTCTCTGCCTCCACCCTCGATTCCAGGACAACTGACGTTCTGACAGAATGTCTGTCTGACAACAAGTCCTGGATGAGAGCCAACTTTCTATGGTTGAATGTCAGTAAGACTGAGTGTCTCTTAATTGGCTCACACCAGTGCCTCCGCGCCTCAGGCACTGGCAGCATCGGCATCCATGTATGCACACTCCACCTCACCAAGCTAATCAGGATCTTGGGCGCCTTGTTCGATCCTCAACTGTCCTTTCTCCCCCATATCAGTGTCTTGACCTGTTCTGCCTTCCCCCACCTCTGCAACATTGCCCGACTCCACCACTGCCTCTCAGGCTGCCGAAACCCTCATACATGCCTTCATTACAACCAGGCTTGACTATGCCAATGCTCTGCTTTTCAGCTTTCCAAACTCTTCCCTCCACAAGCTGCAGATCATCCAGAACTCTGCAGCTTGTGTTCTCTCCCGCACCAGGCTCCATGACCCCATCACCCACACCCTCCCCCGGCTCCACTGGCTCCCCATCCCTCAGAGGATAGAATTCAAAATCCTCATTCTCACTTTCAAGGCCTCCCCATGGCTTTGCCCCCTCCTACATCTCTGACCTGCTGACCCCCTATCAACCTACCTGCTCCCTCCATTCAGCAGGCTCTGCCAATTGTGACAGCAATGTCCCACAAACAGTCATGGATTGAGTGATCAATTTTTTTCTCTTTTTCTGAAGGATTTTTACCCCCGAAAAGCGAACTCCCAATTGACTAACAACCTGGTTCCTACTAATTTACAATATTTTTCAAGTAGGTTATTAAACCTGAGTAGTACATTTGATTTCTCATATTGACTGTTACAAATGATCCTTTCACAGAATGAAATTTGCTTCAGTGACAATCGTTAACACAGCATTAGGTCTAGTTAGCACTCAGCAGCTTTTACATATCTAGTGGATACTTATTGAAAGTGACATCAGCTAATAGGGGTCCGTTATTGAAGTACAATATCTCTCTAGGTTGAGTTTGATTTGCACTTGTATAAAGGGCACACACTAGATGTCTAGCCAGACAGATTTGGACTTATGAAAATAAAGATTGCAAAAGCTTGTGGGATGATTTGTGAAATGAGATGCTCATCTATGAGTTGAGTACAGAACCCCAGAAATCATGCTTAAGGTGGATAGTACTGTGGTCAGGCTACACCTGGAGTACTGTGTACAGTTCCAGTCACTGTGACACAATGGGTTGCTACAGTCCCAGAGGCAGTGGAGAGGAGAGTATGATGTTGTTAGAGATTTTGGCTGTGAGCAACAATTGGATAAGATAGGCCTCATCAGCCTGATAGGGGACCTAATGGAGGAATACAATTATTATTGTTTCTTATTCTTGAAGGATTATTATCAGGCGTGTGGAGTAAGGAAATTTGCCCAAAGTTTCGCCCTACCAGGAATCGACCCAGGTGTCTTGCTTGCGAGGCGAGTGCTCTAACCACTGAGCTACAGGGATCCTAAACAGCCATACTACACAAACAGCCGTGGTGTGAGTGACCAATTTTATCTGGGGGAATGTTGACCAAGTCACCAGGAGAAACTCCCTTCTCTTTTCGAATAGTGCCATAAAATCTTTAACATCCACTGACAGTTTAATGTCTCATCCTAAGGACCAACACTTCCAACAATGCATCACCTCCAGTACTTCATTGGACTGTCAACTTGAACTATGAGTTCAAAATCTTGACACAGGTTTTGAACCTACAATCTTCTGACTCAAGAGTGTGAGAGTGCATCAACTGAGCCAGACTAACAGGGCTATATCCAGTATGTCTGGTTCAGGATAACTCTAACTCATTTCACTTTGGATCCTTCTACCAAAAAAATCAGAGGAAACATCCACCCCTTCAATCACTTTGCTCCAAAATTTTACCCAATCCAATCCTATCCTTCTAAGCACTCCCCTTGCCTTTAATATTTAGTTTTTCAAGGACCTATCTCATTTTCTTTTAAAAGAATATTAACTACAGTGGTTGACAAAAGGGTTTACAATGTTTAACATGCCTGGACATCAGATATAAAAAATAAAGAGTTGTCAATATGGGACAAGTAAGGCATGTTTAAGAACCAATGAAAAATAGTTGAAGCTGAAATTATTCGGTTTCTGATGCTAATCTTAGCATTGAGTCATGATAAGGAACTAATAGAGCTTTATGTTTGAGTTTTGCCACTGGTCCTTTGATCTGTAGTGTCTGCGTTGTTCATAGGTGTCAAACCATATAAATCTCTGCAGCACCATGAGCGATATTCTATTTGCAGAGCAGGAGAACATAAATCCCACTTTAAGACCTACCTCACCTCATTTCCCCCTTCTCCCTTGCTTGGCACCCAATCTGGCCACTGTGCAGCACTCTGAGACGCTATTCTGGGTGAAGGGCTCTATATTAATGTAAATTGTTATTATTGAGGGGGGAAAAAAAAATGATGTCTTTCTTTCCTTTTCCGTTTGCAGACATTCCCAAATCAATGGCTGGATTAACTCAGTTGACCTCTCAAACTTGTTGATAGCCAGAAGACAGAACCAACTTGTGCTGTGACTCACATTAAAATATATCGGTTTGCATTTGATCCTAAGAGCTCCATACCTATCCCTTTGGGAGATGCTCCTTCAATTTCTGTTGGTTTGGGCTATTTCAGCAAAAGAAGATGGTGATGTGGCAGTTGAATTTTGATAAATTATTGTCCGAAGTGTAAAACCTAACGAAGTATAAAACTGGTACCCCCAGCAGAGCATGTGTTCTCTATCAAATCACAAGCAGTCAATGGTTGCCCTGACTTGAGAGAAAGGAAAGGTAATGGAGTTGTGAAAACACACAAGTGAGCTAAGCCAGAATGTAACCAGTTGAAATAACAAGATATATGGTTCAAAGCAAGTCTACATCTCAGTACCCAATCTCCCAAATAATTCTGTGCACCAATGGTTATGTGTTTTCTCAAATAGAAGTTTAGTCTGGAAAGATATTTGTTTGTGAGATTCTGTTCATGCAAAACGGGGTGATCTCCAGTAAATGTGATTTTTCACCCTGCTTTTACTTCAGGTGTTTTGATATTAAAGTAAGGGCAAATGGATGGATTATGAGAAGTAACAGACTGACATCGGATGTAAAGACTAGTGCTGCCCCAGTTGAGATTAGATAATTCAACAAAAATGCAGGGACCTTCCTGGTCTATATTCATCACCAAATAATCTCCTTGAGCCAAAGAATCTACTGGTAGATAGATAGCTTGAAATAGGGTCAAAATGCTACCTCGAACATGCTATGCTTCTTTCTCCTCCCTAACTCCAATCCTCCCCTCAAATACCACAGGCACTGACACTCAAGTGTCAGACTGGGGAAGAACTGAAAACTAATGGGATTCAGTGCGGAGACTGAGTGGCCCTGTGATATGCTGGCAGACTCTTTCATCACTCCAAAGCTGCTGTCTTGCAAAGGAGATTGGCTGAATTTTTTCATTTGGGTATTTCAAAAACGAAAGCACCTAGTTTTCTTTTGCAGTAGAAGATTCCATGTAAGCATCACATTTTAGCTTTCTGCCGAGGGTGGTGGGGGGAATTTACCTTAACGTTTGAATTTTAAATATCCTCAACTGCTTGTGCACTTGTAGGAGAATCCAGTGCAGTCTCATCTATTTTTAAACAGAAACATGGACATTAGAAACAAAGACATTGTCTATACAGGAGAAGACGATTCAGTCCATTGGGTCTGGTTCACTGTTGCCTGTATTTCTGAATTACGCCCCTTTTTTGTTAAATAAAACTACAGAACAGCAGGAATCTCTAAGTCCTGCTATGTCTCATTGATTGCATGAGCATTACTGTTCTGAACATGGAATCACTTATCAAAGTTTTGCGGAGAGGAAATGGTTCTTCATTAAACGAATGATCTTGTTTGCCAACAAACCTTTTTACATTACTTATTAAAATGGAATGCAGAAAGGCACTTAACTGCAGTTTAATATATTTATTCCAATACAATGCAACTATGTACATTATTTATAACTAAAATGTACATAGCACCTGAAATTGTTCAATCAGCAAGTGATGGGCAATGCAGGTTTGCTATTCCTTTAGAGGGCTGGATGCTAAGGAAACTATGGTTGGAGGAATTGGGTTGATTCAATTGAACAAGATCAATAAATCTGAGATACACCAAAATTATTCCAACTTGTTGACGTATTAATGCTAAGTACAGTGATTGTGGATGTTGATAATTGCTCTCTCTAATGTTCTTCGTATAGGATTCTAAACTTCCTACAATTTGAACCAACACTTAAAGGTCCTGCAAGAAATTGAGTACTGTACATTTGGATGTACCTCCAACAGCACACATTTTGTTCAAGCTTGAATTATCGTCTCTGAAAGATCTCTGAAAGAAGATGAATCAAAGAAGTCTGGGATTCTGTGTGTACTTGCGACAGCAATGAGAGAATCCCTTTCAACAGTTTCAGACCCTATTTCAGACGAGGATGGAGTTATTACACCACAAAGAGTAACTATGCATAATGCTTCAAGCTAAGATCAAGAGCAAAGAGCACCCAACGACGATTGCATAATTTTGTTGCAACAGTAGGAAGCTGATAACTTTCTACGGTTATACCACAACTTAGGTAGCTGATAGTCATTGAAATCTGTGAACTGACAACGTGGAGTTGAGAAACTGAGTAACAGTGAAGCCAACCAGACACCAAAATGACATTGGAAATGGATATAACATTTCTCAAAGGGCTGGAAAGGGAGAAGGTTCTGGAAGTTCTGTGTCGGGATGAAAAGTTACGGAAGGCTGAGGAAGAGCGGATAAGGTAAGAAGTTGAGACATTTGTTAAACTATCCTCTGTGGTAAACCATAACTCATTAACCTATCAACTAAAGTACATCAGAAATAATGTTATGAAATAAAGATTTCATCCAATAAATGTTTATATTTAACAAATCTGCCTGGGATATTTACCAGAAGGTACATTTTGTCATTTTGAAGTTACGGCTCAAGAAAAAGTAGCGGGCAGGTTTAGTATACAGAAAATCTCCAACAGTTACTCAGGAAATAGGTTTGGTTACTGAGCTTCTTATCAAAATGGTTATTTATTTTATGCTTAACTCACAAAATTAGCTTTCTATGAGATAGGAAAAGTGCTCCACCTGTTGAAGGGGGCTTTAGAAATTCAAGTTGTGTGTCAGCCTGGCTCAGTTCTGAGTCAGAAGGTTACAGGTTTAAGCCCCACATCAGGACTTGGAACTCACCTAGTCTAAGCTGACACTCCAATGCAGCCCGGGGTTTGCTGCATTGCTGGCGCTGCTGTCCTTTGGATAAGATATTAAACTAAGGCCCCGTTTGCCTGTTCAGGTGGACATTAGAGATCCCATGGCAATGTTCCAAAAGACACTTCTGTTTTTCCCAATGTCTTGGCCAACAATCCCTCAAATAAAATTGGTCGCTAACTCCATGGATATTATTATTCAGGATAAATAACCCTGCACTGGCTAGACATGTGATGTGATGGCCCATGAACCTCATTGCACTATCCTATGCCTGTGACAGTCCTTGACTTGGCCACTCATAACAGGAAGCTTTACATGAGCCCATTATAGAGCTGACAGCTCATTGCACATTTGTTTGGTAGCTATATATGCGTGTCTGTCACCGAGTACACCACAACTGTGCAAAGGATAAATATGAAGGAAACTATGTAATTAAGATCTGACTTTTAATCCAGAAAACACTTTCATATCAATGCAGTGGATAATTTCCAGAATTTAAAAACATATCAATTATGATAATGGAACAATTGAGTCTTCTATGATTTTTATACTTTGAGTAATTTACATTTGTTTATTGAATCTCCATTTTATCTCGGTAATTTCCCTATTGATGCTGAGTCAGAAGGATGTGGCTTCCTGCCTCTGCATCAGGACTTGTGTTTGTAATTTAGGTGCCACTACTGTAGAACAAAGCCACCCACTGAATCAAGGTGAAATCTACAGTGTAACTCCAGCTTTAGGGAATCACATTAAACCAAAGTCCTGTCTGACTGTTCAGGAGGACAAATATTCATATTCAGAAAGACAAGGGAGTTTCTCCTGGTGTCCTGGCCAACAGTCCCCCAAATAAAATTGGTCATTCACTTCATGGCTGTTTGTGGGATATTGCTGTGTGCAAAGTGCTTGTCACATTCGCCTTAGTTTAAGTACAATCATTACATTCTGCAGTAATTCCTGTGAAACGCTTTGAGAAGTTTTGACAAATGTGATACAGTGCTATATTATTATTATACAATTGAACTGAAATGGCATGAAGCAACCCCCAGGAGGCAGTCTGGCACCACTTCAGATTTCCTCAGGTTATACAGTAATTGTAGTAAGGGTAAAGCTGCTTTTTTTAAAAAAAAGCAATGAAAACTAAGCTTTTAAAGATTCAGAGATGGTTTGCATGTTCATTTTTTCGAGGTGTGAAGAGACAACAGTACATTAAATATTTATTTGGCATTCAGATTCTGGTTAGTAAGCACTCTCGTTAGTTAAGCGCTCTGAGACGCTATATAAATCCAAGTTGTTGTTGTTGTTGTTAGTAGAGCTCTGCTTTGCTTAATAACACCACTACTATAGCTGTGACTGACTTTATAGGATAACTAAGCTGTCAGAGATCATCTCCTGAAGGAGATTCAAAGTGAGCCCTGTTAGAAGATTATGAACACTTTGACCTTTTAATCTTTTTTATTTGTATTTATTTTTATCATCATTTAGACATCTTTCAACACAAAAACAACTTTTAAAAATTATAACCATTTCCTTATTACAATACAATCCAAATTTGCATTGATATAGTGCTTTTCATGTCATGCTAATGTTTCAAGGCACTTAACAGCCCTGGCTTGGCATCCAAACTGGGAGTTGGGAGCTGAGGCGTGTGGAGTCTGCACTGGCTGCCTATCCCAGAGGCCTCTCTGACCTCCTCTCTCCTCAAAACAGTACCCATTGCCTTCGTTCCTCCGGGTCTGGCCTCCTTCTCGTCCCCTGAGTCCTCCGCTCCACCCTCGGCAGCTGTGCCTTCAGCCACTATGCCCCGAGGCTGTGGAACTGCCTTCCTCACTCCCTTTGCCTCGCTCCCTCCCTTCCCATTTTCATTGAAGACCTTTTTCGACCGCGACTTTGGTCACCTTCCTCACCCTGGCTCGGTCCTGAGATCCGTTACTGTAAAGCGCTCTGAGACGCCGATTGGCGTGGAGGGCGCTATATAAATCCAAGCTGTTGTTGTTGTTGTTGGAGAGGGGAAAGGTGACTGAAGGCGCAGTCCGAGAGGAAGGTCTTGAGATGGACCTTGAAAGAGGTGAGGGAAGCGGTGAGTTGGAGGGACTCTGGGATGGAGTTCCAGGGAGTAGGTGCACAAATGTTGAAAGCCTGCCTGGTGATGGTGGGGCGGGTAGGATGGGGGACGTGAAGTAGGCTGGTGCCCGCTGAGCAAAGGGAGCTGGGTTGATGTTTCAAAGCACTTCACAAGATTTACTGTAAAGTAGATTGACTATGTATTTTTCTGGGCAGCATGATAACATTTCTGGTGGTGCATGTATAACAGATAAAAGGCCACTGCTATCCTCATGAAAACATATTTTGGGGGATGGGATAAAAACCACATTGCCTTGCTATATTTTGACATGTCATTGAATGCAAGTGATGTGACATGATTTTTATAAATTTCTATCTTTACAAACACTTTGCCAAACGCTTCTCACAAAGAATCTTTGTAAACTGGTGTCAAAAATGTCTGTGATAGATTTCTCCTCAACTTTGCTATAGGGATTCAAGCTTTTCATCTCAGTGACGATTCAACTCCTGATGTATTTAATAGATTAATGATAATTCTAATAATTCAAATGCTGATGTATTTAATTTATGCATGTAATTATACTGCAGCCAGTTTGTTTCTGAAAGTGATTAATAAGGTGGTTTTCTTGTGCAAAGGAAGCTGAAATCTGAATTTCAGGAAATTCGCCGGAGAGGGGCAAAAAGTTTCAGCCAGGAATACAGCAGCCGGTCCTGTGCTCGATGTCAGCTGTCGCTGGGGCTGGTGTTTGGCCGTGGTGCTCTGTGTAGTATCTGCAGTCACAAAGTGTGCAGTAAATGTCGTGTCCACAGGAGCAACACAGCATGGAAGTGCATCGTATGCCATGCTCATGGGTAAGAATTCATTTAAACTTTTTCGTTTATTTCCAGTTTTTGTTACTCAAAATGAAGCCCTCGTGAATCAGTTTGCTGGCATAGAGATGTGAAATACAATTTATAATGGGTTTGAAAAAATACCAATACCGTAGAACAATAGGCTTAGACTTGCAAAGGCTAATTTCAGGATAGATACCAAGTTTTTCTTTACTCAAAGGGTAATTTGACCCCTTTCTCCCCTTTTTCAAGTCCCGCCTGAAAACCTTCCTTTTCGACTGTGCTTACGATCACCTACCTCTGCATCCACCACTTCCCGGCTTGGAGTCAGGCTCTGCCACGGTTAAGCGGTCTGACGCGCTGCCCTGCGTGGAGGGCACTATATAAGTGCAAGTTGCTGTTAACAAAAGGCAGTTGAGGCCAGGATACTGGATTTATTTAAAAAGTGTGTGATGTTGTGATAGGAGATGGCAGGGTGAGTATTCTGGAGGGATGATATCAGAGGGGCCAAAGGGCCTTCTTCATCTAAATTAATCTTGTGATCTTATAAGGCTTCCCCTACATTAACTAATAAATTCATTTAATTGCTCCGGGATGTTACCCTGCTTGAAGGATGCTATATACATGCACAGTTGGGTCATGACCCGAGCAGGGGGGAAATGGTCAGGGTGAGGGGAGGAAGGGAGGAACGAGGAGGGGGAAATGGTCATCAGGTCCCGCTTCCACTCCCCACTCCACCCTCCACTCAATGAGGGGAGGGAAGGGAGGGAGAGAGGAGGGGGAAATGGTCAGGGTGAGGGAGGGAAGGGAGGAGCGAGGAGGGGAAGAGAGTCGAGAGGGGAGCTGAAGGCTCGGTCAAAGAGAAAGGTCTTGAGACCGGCCTTGAAGGAGGAAAGGGAGGAAGCAAGGCGAAGGCACTGGGGGATGGAGTTCCAGAGCCTGGGGGCTGAGAGGCTGAAGGCCCGACCACCGATGGTAGGGCGGTTGGGGCGGGGGACGTGGAGCAGACCGGAGCCAGAGGAACGGAGGGTACGGGCAGGTAGGTAGGTAGGATTTACAGCAAATCCTGTGAATGTTTTGAGGTGTCCTTTCCGATATGAAAGGTGCTATATATAATAATAATATTCATTCACACATCACTCCTGAGAAGTGCAAGATTGTCTGCTCCTGTGCTATGTCTATCAATGACCACCACAAAATTGCATAATGGGCAGAGTAGGTAGTGATAGTAGCATTTCTGAACACAAGCCCTGGCTGTTTCCCCTGGGCAATTTAACCTCCCCATGCAGCCCCAATTGGGATTTTCATACCATTGTGTTTGATTATGCTGTTCTCACTGAACTTCATTCCTCAAGACCTTTTTGATGTGGTAAGTAAGTCTTGCACTTTCGATTCTAGAACTGACAAAAAAACTGTTAATTTCATATCCTATTTCAGGTCTGGCTTTGCTCAATTTAATTTGAGAATAGGCGGATGAAACTTCTTGTGTTCCTTGTCAAAAGACCATTGTCTTGAGATTTAGGAGGTTTAGGAATTTTGAATCAAATTCAGTCCTAACTTGGAAACCGATATCCACAGTACTCCGTGTAAACTAATCTACTTCCCCTGAGCTGAATTCACATCTTAAAGTGCTGATTTGTGTTGATTCTCAATCTCAGGCAGGTGAAGGTGAAATCTGGCGAGTGGTTTTTCGAGGAAAGAGCAAAGAAATTTCACTACGAAGAAGGTAAGTGTAGCTATAATGTTTATGTGCTTCAGTCTCCAGCCCAATATTACCAGGAAGATGAGAGGTGGAATATTCATCTGATGTTGTGAATGTTCACTGATCTGGCTTCTTGGAAAATGCCAGTCTCCTCGTGTTGCCTGTTCTCCCTCTTTCTCTCAGCACCCAATGCTGTATTGGGAGTATTTTGAAGTATACATTGTGTAAACTGGGGTAGAAAATACTTTAAAACAGATCAAACATACTTTTCACCCCTGCTACAGTGTGCAATAAAACTACATCCGTTGTCATTTTTAATATGCTGAGTTTGCTTCCCACCTGTTTGTTTGCAAATCTGAAAGAGAAATGGCAGAAAGCAATTGTTGAAATTTACCTATTCCTGTTTACCACCCGAGGAGTCAAATAGGATTGGACTGAGTTAGCAGCATCACAAGTGTGTTACACTGAACTAAAGCCCCCTTCTCCCTCCCCTGTCTGGTCACTATTACATCATGTCTTCTTCAACTACATCATTCACCTAATACACAACCCAGGAAGTAGACAAATCCTCCTATTTTTCAAAATGTCTTCTCATTACAGGCTCCCTTTAAGAGGAAGTGGTTAGTGGTTTACATCTTGTGAGATGCAGTGTGCTGATAAATTGATGGGAACATAATAGGTAATGTTAAAGATCATAGGATGAATTCTTGTTATATACGCAACAAAGAAGGGGTGTGTTGAGAACATTGGTTATTTCCTTCTACAATATATGCCACAAATGTGACAGGGTGTCATAAATCTCAGTGGTGCCTCTTATACCTAAATGGAGAAAGCAACAAATGTTTTTTTTAACCAAAATGTGTTATCCCAATTTCTGTCCTAAATTGCAGTAAGTATTTCACTTTAGTTTCTAGTAAACTCAGTAAATGAACCATCCTGACTCACTCAAGTTTCATGGTGTTTTTCTCTGTTTTGGATACGCAGACAAACATGAAACAATAAGTGAGAGGCTACTGAGGACTATTCACACAGTGAGGTACGATGTCTGCATGCGTTGTGGGTTATGATTTGTGTGGATGCTTTCTAAAGGAGAAACTCTAGTTGATGTGTGTTTGAGCTGCAATAAGCTGTTTGCAATGTAAGGGCCTAGTAGGCTGAGTCTGTAACCTTTATTTCTAAAGATTGAGTACATTATGCAAATTTTAAATGCACTCAGATAGTTCTGGAAAAATGTAAGAAAAAATTGTATTTATTTTACTTTAAGTGCCTGCAAACCATGATGTGTAACATCGTGTTCACTCCCCTGACTAAAGAGTTACAAAAATAAACAATAATTACATGATAAACGCTCCGAGACACCGTCCAGTGTAATGGGCGCTATATAAATGCAAGTTGTTGTTGTTGATACAGATATAAGCGTCTCGTCCCAAATTCTTAATATCCTTGCAAAGTTGAGTTGGGATCTCTCTCCAATTCTTTTGCACTGTACAGGATAGGAAATGACCTGTAAAGAGAAACTGCAAGTAAAATGTCAATCTCTTAGTCTAATAAGAAACATATTACTGCATTGTCACCACACTTCACAGTACAATCCTTTGAAGTGTTTTGACGACATGATAAGGGCACTATATCAAATGCAAGGTTTATTATTATGTTATTGTATCTGACGTAATATTGGTATTGCCAAAAAATGAACTGTTTCGCCCTCTGCTGGAGAACAACATGGTTATTTTTTAGCACAAGGTATATAGTATTCATGTTTTATATTAAAGGTATGGCTTGTCACAGCGTTCCTGTGATACGGCCTGCAAACAAGATATTATTGGTTGCAATGTTGTAATTGGGGTTTTAGTAATACTGCTTTACACTCTTATTTATTAATATAATGTTACGTTAGGGCATTCGCTAAAAATATACAAACTTGCCTTCAATTCACTTTACAGTATATTCTGTGAAGCGCTTTGAGATGTCTTAATGACGTGATATATCAAATGCAAATGCAAGGATTATTATTCTTCATTAAAATCAGCTCTTAAGAAAAAATGTATAGAACATTGAAAACAACTTTGTGTCTTGTTTCAGCAATATTTCCATCGTGCCTCCTACTCCACCACCTTTTGTTACCGGTGTTCCTGGAGATCAATCGGTAATGTATGACTAAATTGGAAGCTTTAGTATTCATTATCTGGGAAACCTGGTACATAAGGCCAGTCCCAATTATTCTATCCATTTGTTTTTCTTTTGAGAAGGCTGTCGCTTCTTTGTCAAGTCAAAACTACACAGTGTGGGATCAGACATTAGGAACTATGACTTGAATTGGAGATGGGCTTTTTCTTGATGATTAAACTTCATTGAAAATCTTGATAACTGACAATAAATGGATACAAATATTATTTTCCTTTTTTAAAAAATAGGGTTTTGTTGCCTAATTTGCACTTTAGGAAAACCCAGAGAATCCATTAAAGAACCTGACTGTCCAGCCCCAAATCAGTTAATCCACTCTTTTGACCCCTTGTTGAGTTATTGTAACAAAGTTTGTTTTTGGTCAGCCGGGTGTCTGACACTTGCGGCAACCCATTACCATGCTTAAGAGCATCCAGACCAAACGGAGAATTCCATGCATCCCACCTACACGCGGAAATCCCAGAGATAGATTGTTGGAATGGAATGCACACACTCTCCCTAGAGGGACGCTTCCTGTTTACCTAATTCCGGTATGTATTAGGCGCAGGTTGGCAAGAGCCAAGACTTGGGGACCCCAGAGTGTGCGTTGGGGTACTCCTAGAGTCTAACCAGTTCCAACCACATAGCTTGAATTGCCCTTCCCCGGTTCTGCGGTGGAGCTCTTTACTGCCCCTAATGGATAACTTGCCACCCTGCACCTGTCCACTGCTGTCAATCATACTTTGCAAGAATAGCTTTATTTTAGTTTGGAACTGGGGGGATTTTGTAGCTCTGGACAGGGAGAGGCAGGTGATCAAATCTAAAAAAAAATTCCTTCTTGCAATAAGCAGTGAGTGTGGGTTGTATCAAGAAAGTTGCTGTATCAAGTATTATTTTGCTGCAATCACTGGAGCAAAACACTGGACCAAAGTGTGAAGAAGGCTGAGTGAATGAACCAATTGGTTGTAGGGACAAATTTGGCCTGTGCTCCACTGATGGCAAATTATCCCGTTTAGACAAGTTACAGTCACCACTAAGGGAACCTCTATCACCAGAGTCAAGTGAAATACCTAAATGCTACTAGCAGTCTAACCAGCTTCAATAGTCAGACTCTAAGTAAAGCACATGAATTAGATGAGTCAAAACTCTGCTGATCCCATTTGCTACTAGTGTGAGTGAGGGATCATAGCGCACTGCATGCAGTGATTTGTCACCCTTCATGAGCACTGTTACTTTAAGGTATTACATTTGGTTGGGAACCTCGCAGATCTCTTGACATCTGCAATCTCTCGACTATTGCACGGGAATTGTTGGGAAAATCCCTGTGTTCTTCAGTTTTAGAGTATCATGGCACTTTGAGTTAAAGTTCTCTGACCTGTTTGTACTTTACTCCTCTGCCCGTTCTCCCTTCACTCAGCAGATACAGCCCTGTTGCGTGACCCCGAACAAAGTGTTGAGTTAAAAATATCTAGCAACATTTGTTGAATGTGTAAAGAATGCAGTAGTATTAGAGCAATCTCACAGGATTCATTACAGTAATGCATTCTTGCTAAAAGTTGTTTTTTTATGGTCTCCAGCAGCAGAGCCACTCTAGAGGATTTACTAAGTCTATGGAAAATCTATTTTGGTCTCTCACCGGCTATAAGAGAAGTAAGTGGACAATATTTCTCATATTAGTTTCTCTCTCCCTCTTCAACTCCCTTTTCAAGTTTGACTGCACTGATAATAAGTAATACTATGGTTACCTGCATCTACACAAACACACGCATACACACACACACACATACATACACACATACACATACACACTTACACATACACACATACATATATACACATACACACACAATTTAAGACTGAATCTAAGAATTTTCCGCTATTCTGCCGATCTTAAATTTCTAGACAAAATTGCCTTACAGGATTAAAGCTAGATGGGATTTTAGGTCTCAAGTCCAACATTCACATCTCAAGTAATTTCCGAACGAAGAGTCTGACTGATGCAATACATAATGTTAAGTTATTCCAGCTGTTTATTTTCATGGTTTGATTTCCTAGAATTCTCCTTGTCCCACGATGATGTGACTAAAAATAGCAAGTTACTTACAGCGGATTATGGACAAAATACCTGTGAGTTGAAGCAAAGGAGTCAATCTGATACGGCCATCAGCAACGCAGGCAAGGTATAGAATGGTCAGCATTTGGAAAATGTAGTACAATGCCTTCTAGTAGATCCCACGAGTGTAGGAGCTAGCTCTGGTATACAGTGTGAGAGGTAGGATAAGTTTACAACAACATTACATTTGTATAGCACCTTTCAAGTCAGGAGGACATCCCGAGGCTCTGAAGGTTGTGGTAATAATAATAATAATAATAATCCTTGCATTTGATGTAGCGCGTTTTCACGTCTTCTCGACGTCTCAAGCGCTTCACAGAATAGACTGTAAAGTGAATTGACTGTATATTTGTGGGCGAAACGCGGCAGCCAATTGTGCACAACAGTGTCCCACAAACAGTCGTGGATTGAAAATGACCAATTTATTATTGTTTTGGAGGGATTATTATTACAGTCACAAACTACTGTACAGATATCGGTATAGCATGTCATCCTGACTCAGATGGTAGCACTCTCACCTCTGAGTCAGAAGATTGTGGAGTTCCCCCACGTCAGGACTTGTAACTCATATACTTGAAGCTGACACTTTAGTGCAGTCCTGGGGGTGTACTGCATTGTCGGAGGTGCCATCCTTTGGATTAAACATTAAACTGAACATTAATTTGAAGTCCCCCTTTTTTTTTTGTTCGGGTGCACTTTGAACATCCCATGGCATTATTCGAAAATAGAAGGGAGTTTTTCCTGGTGTCCTGGCTAACAATCCCCCAAATACAATTGGTCATTCACATCATGGCTGCTTGTGGCCATTGCAGTGTGTAAATTGGCTGCAGCATTTGCCCATGAAACAGTTACTGCACTTTACACAATATTCTCTGAAGCATATTGAGACATCTTCCTGATGTGAAAGATGCTGTATCACATATAAACATTACTTTTATAGCCTAGAGATGGCATTAAAGCCTCAAAGGAAAGGTGGAGCCAGGCTCTGAAGGGAGAGTGCATTATAAGGCTGCAATTCACGCACTCATATCGTAAACTATAGACACACTAAAAGTCTTTATTTTTTAATTAATATTACATTAAGTCACTTTTTTCTTCACCTTACACTTGCCTCCTCTCCACCCCCAACTTCTAGCCCAAATGCTTCCCATTCTGGAGCTTACTCAGATGATTTATTGGTTTCTGACTTTGGTTAGGCACTATGTCTGCCAAGTTCTGCTGCCTGGCTTTGAATCACATGACGGAGCTTTGCTTGAAACAATGCTCACTTTGTGTACACGCATTACAGGTTCTTTTATTTGGCTTTATAATTGTGGCTTTGCCATCCTTTCCAGGTCAAACATTTAACTTTTGTTCGTTTCCATTAAAAGAGGAAACAGTCCGGGAGAGCACTTTCACATGAATGTTGTCTGTGTTTTTAAAGTGCTGTTAGTTTTCCAGTCTTGGTGGAGTCTCGCTCAGCTTCCCTCCTCAGATATTCCACTGCTTTTTGTAATGATGAAGGGAGAGAGGCTTCCTTGTGTGGGATGGGAGGTTTCAGACAGGCCTGCTACCTGATCTGGACCAACCAGATTCTAAGAAGAGCCTAGGAAGATCTCTAACATCTATTAGTGTGTTCTTCCAGAATAGCTGCATTCCAGATCAACTCCCAGGCCAGATATGATGTTCTTCCCTGTTGCAGTAAATGCAGCCAATCTAGGATACATACGATTGAAATGTGAGCCTGACAACCAAATTATTTGAATAAAAGATCTTATTTTTGTTGGAGGTAATAAGAGTACTGTAGGAAGAACATGTTCCTTCTCTTTCAAACAAAGCAAATTTCACTTACTATTTGTCTAATAGCCAATTATTTGTGGTCCTGAAATGGATGGATTTTAAATTATTTTTTCCACCAAAGCTTTGAAACCCTTTACCTTCCCAGAAATATTCTGTCTCTGTGGTTAGGAGGGTTTGTTCATGACATTTAGAAAGAAGGCTTCTCAGCCAGCTCATTCTTTAAGCCTTTTCTGCAGCACATATGATGCTCACTTTATGAACATGCATTATATTTCATTAATCACCAAAAACAAAACATCCGTTAACATGGTACATGTCTGGCTCAGTTAGTAGCACTCTTGACACTGAGTCAGAGGATTGTGGCTTCAAGCCCCATGTCAACTCTTTGAGCTCATTGTCTAGACTAACACTAGATGACCCAGATGGGGATATTCTACCATTTGGAGAATAAAGAGAACAGTTCAAATTGTGTTCAGTAGCTGAGCTTTCGCAACAGCCGGTTTGTAGATAAACTCAAATTCCAATTTGCTGGTGTGCGTTCAGTGCTGAAGGTTTTGCAGGCAGGGCCTCACTAAGGCTGTCTCTGATCCCATAACAGTCCCGACCCTCTGGAAGTCTACCTAACATCAACAAGTTGGATGAGAAGGACGGAAAACATTTTGAGGAAGTGAACTTGAACCAGGAAGAGGAGGAGGTCAGCTCCTCACAGACCCAGGTGAACGTAAGAAAAAAAACAGTAAGTGCATACAACATTGCTCAGCACCTTCATGTGCATGAATTTGGGAAGTTTCTTTGCTTGAAATCCTTCCAAGCCAATCTGTTTTTAAGGACTGCTGCAAGCTGACTTCTAAATTGAAACTGAATTAAGAAATATCACATTTTTGCCTGATCTTACATTTTAAGACAGAACGACCTTGCAGGCTGAGACTATGGAACTTCAGGACCAGAGATTTGGTAATTCAGGGCAGTTGTGGGAAAACACATGACCAAAAAACACATGACCAAAGATTATAAATTAGGAGTTTCTCCAAAGTTTCCACAGAGAGCTCATAAGGAAGACTGGCCTAAATAACAGCAGATCACAAGACTGGTTTGGATGAAGAAGTCCCTTTGGCCCATTGACTCTCACCCATCCTGAACACCCACCCTACTGTCCCCCATCACAACATCTTTTTAAATGGGTCCTGATGCCTGGCCTCTACCATTATTCCCGGCAACCTGTTCCAGTCATTGATTACCATCTGCGAAAAGAGTGCAGTGGGGTGGGATGGATGCAAAAAGCATTTGATGTATTTAAGAGGAAATAAAGTGCATATGTGAGGGAGGAGGGAATAGAGGTGTATAGAAGAATAGAATCATAGAAATATTTAGCACAGAAGGAGGCCATTTGGCCTATTGAGTCTGTACTTCAGAGGTTTGTAGAGAGTAGAAACACCAGCATGGATTAATTGAGCCAAATTCTGCAAACACTAATGTGTATTTTTTTGCAATGGGCAGTTAGTTGTGTTCTAACAGTTGATATTCCACCTTCTTGCTCCAGGGCAGCATACATAGCACCAGCAGTACTTACACTGAGCCCGATAACTTTGACGACGCTGCCATCACAGGGCAAATCGAGTTTGCTGTCCAGTACAACTTTAAAACAGCCACTCTGGAAATCCTCATCAAAGCCTGTAAACATCTTGCCAGTGGGGACGAGAAAAAGAAAAAGTTAAACCCGTATGTTTGAGTTTTTAAGTGAATACAGTAGAACCTGGTTATAACTCAGTAGTTGGGGGTCCATAAAATCCCAACCTGCCTTACAATGGGATGCGATTGCTGGGCAGTATTCTTGCATTCATTACACCACGGCTTCATGTGCTAAAAAGTGGCTGACTTCCTGTTGCCAGGTCACCTCCAACAAGAATTCCTGGGTGCTGTGCCTGCATGGTGTTCAGGAAGTGATATTGCCAGTGACTGAATGATCTGGACATTGACCATATTTTAACGCGTGAGAAGCCGGCTGGCATTTTGAAGTGAGACAATAATAATAATAATCCTTGCATTTAATATAGCACCTTATCATGTCTTTGAGACGTCCCCAAGTGCTTCACGGAATATATTGTAAAGTGAATTGACTGTATGTTTTGTGGGTGCAACAATTATTTGAAGTGAGCTGGCTGGAGTTCTGTGCATTTCTTGGATATTTTTTTAGTAAGTAAGCCCTAACAGTGCATGTTATAACTGGGTTCTACTGTATTTCCATCCTATATGAAAGTTAACTGCAGAGATTTCCTGGTGCATTATTTGGTAAAGGCACTGTCTGTAATGAAACATTTACTTTGTGCTTATCGCAATTACCGAAAGTTACCAAAGTGCAAAGAAAAAAGATGGGTGAGCAAAACCATCTACCCTTGTGATACGTAACAATGTATACGGCATCTGGATTTATAAATGAACGTGAAATGTTGTGGTGTGTACGACAGTGTTTGCCAAAGGGGCAGTGGCTGCCTAGCCGCTGATGCTGACAATTGATCTAACAGATCTACACAGAATCTTGTCCTCTCTGCTCATACCCCATTACTCCTGTCCACTTGGCTAACCCCCACCCCCACCCACTCCATGTGACCATTGGTGGCCAGGCCTTTATTCACTGTCTCTCATCTCTGGAACGATTTCTGCACTCGCTCGCTCTATTTCTCTGCCTTGTTCCCCCCACTTTAGCTGTCTTTAAATTCCACCTTAAAACCTACCTCTGTGACCTCGTCTATGGATGGTGGTGGCAACTGTAGGTTGTTCTGTGCCCAACCCCACACTGTGAAGCTTTGTGAGACGTTATCCTACGTGAACAGCTCAACACAAATGCAAGTTGTTGTTGTTGACACTGATACATTCTTCAGACTCTTTGTCACAATCCACTCTCAGGTGAGCTGATGGTTGTGATCATATTTTCAGGTATGTGAAGACCTACTTGCTTCCTGACAAATCTTCTCAGGCTAAATCAAAGACCGCAGTGAAGAAGAACACAGTGAATCCAGTTTTTAATGAAACATTAAAGGTAATTAACCACTCTTAAGAATATAGGTTCCTTAGCTGCTGATATCATTGTTTTAATAGCTTTCCAATGGGTTGTTGTTTCTCTGACAATTCTTGAATGTATTTGGGTTCAAATGTGACCTTTGTGAAAGGTGGATTATTGTCACTTTCTTTGTGAGGTGCATTGCAGAGGGGCTGTACTTTGTATGAGATGTTAATCCAAAATCCTGCCTGCCTATCCAGGTGGATATTGAAGATCATATGCTACTAATGGAAAGAGAAGGGGGTTTCTCCTGGTGTCCTCTCCATAAATCTCCCCCTCAGTTTTTTAAAAAAACAATTTATAACTATTTGTAGCATATTATTGTGAGCAAATTGGCTACTGTGTTCTCTTACAAAATATAGTCACTGCATGTTACAATCAAAAGCCTTTAGAGTCCTTTGAGATATCCTTCTGATGTGAAAGAAACTGCATCAAATGTAAGGATTATTATATTGAAGTTGATGTTGGACTCCAAGTAACTCTAAATGTAAACTTTATGTTTTATTCATAGAATTTTTTGTTCAAGTTACTGTACAGTACAAGCTAAATTTATTTATAAGTGAATTTGTTATTTTACAGTAGATTTGAGACATCCGCCAGACATGAAAGGCACTTTAGAAATGTAAATTATATTATAAATATTCTGCCCTGTATTCTGCAGTACAAAATTGAGCGTTCTATGTTGGAGACACGGACACTGCAGGTCTCTGTGTGGCACTGCACTGCTCTCAAACGCAACACCTTCCTGGGAGAGGTCAGCATCCCTTTTGAAACCTGGAAATTTGAAGAGATATCAACTCAGTCCTACAACTGGTATCAGCTTCGAACCAAGGTAACCTCAGTGCGGTAATTCTCAACTGAAGCGCACAAGAACATGATTCTGATCATCTGGTCTCTTTGCAAAATAGAATCAGCCTCTATGCAAATTCTTCAGACTATTAAAAAGAGGTACAAACAACATTGATTCCAATGGGAACATCTCTGTAATTATATACAAATCCAAATGCATGGAAAGAAAAACCATATCAAGTAAATGGCTGAAGGATTGTAAGTGCGAAGCAAAGGCTGGGTCTGAGCATGCAACTAATACTGTACTTGCATGATGCCTTTTCCTGTGCTATGTGCTTAGGATGAGCTGCAGTTGCATTTGAATGATGTCTACCCTCTTGCTTAGGTTATGTAATTGGAAGTGGATATGGAGGTTGCAGACTCAAATCCCAGTCTGTGAACGAGTCAGTAAATCTTGGTTGGGCAGCAAGTGTAGCTATGTAAATAGCCTCAGTGATCCCCGGGTTGGTCAAGGGGATCATCAGCCAGTGTCCCCAATCCTCATTGCTATCAGAACCCACTGCTGGAAGATGCATGTGTTTGGACAACAATAACACACATTTATATCATGCCCTTATGTGATGTAGTGTTTCAGAGTGCTGAACGTGTTATGAGGACAGGATTAGGCTTGGCTGGAGTGTCCCAAAGGTCAAAAAATTCACTGTCAAGATTCACACAGTGTAAAATACTTGTCACATAGGCAGGGTACTGAGGGTCTCCAGTACCTGTGGAGCTGGATCCCTCTGGTTGGGCAAAAACGCGAGTCAAATGACCTCAGGAGATGTTGAAGAGGGGAGAATATTGGCAGAAAAATTAAAGATAATTCAGCTCAAAGCTACACATGAAGTCTTGTTATGTATTAATCCAAAGAATAGTAATAATCCTTGAATTTGATATGATGCCTTATCATGTCGTCATCAAAGTCTCAAAACGTTTTCCAGGATTTTACTGTAAAGTATAGCGACTGTGTATTTTATTGGTAAATGCGATAGCCAATTTGCACATGGCATGTGACTTTGCTATTGCATGGCCAATCTATTCCAGCTTTTTCCTAAAAAAGTTTTTGGGTCAGATTGTCTGCTGATAAGACTTCAGTACTTTTATTGAATGCTGTGTTACTTGCTGTAAAAATCCAGTAAATATAGGAATGTAATTCATCAGGACACTGCAACCTTGAGGACTGATGTGATGTCCAGACACTGATCGGCCTCTGCTCCTGCTGTTCGTAACAGCCTCACAGCTTCCACCATGTGGCATCACGACCTTCTGTACACTTCTGTTTAGCACGGGGTGGGGTGGGGGGGGGGCGGTGGTTGGAGGGGGGTTGGGGGTTAAAGTAACCTGTGGTATTAAGGAAGCCTTAATATGGATTGAATTGCACAAATAGGAACGCCTTCCCATAACCAGCATGCTGTATGAACACTGTTCTGGCTCAATCTACTTCTTATTAAGGAATCCTGCTAAGAACACTGTAACTTAAATCCCATTCTTTTAATAAAGTTGATTTGTATATAATTACTGTGTTTTTTTTAGCTGACTTTGTTAATATGAAACTACAGGATATCCAGACTTTTATTGGCCGTTGTACTTACTTTACATTTATTTTACTTTTATATTTTATAGATCTTGCCATTGGGATCCCAATGGAAAGCTCCAATTTATAGTTTGGATTGTATCAAGGTGTTAAATTAATATGACTTTTCCTTGTACAGCTCCACATGTAGCGTTGCTGTTGAATAATATGGAAGAATTATTTGTATACTGTGAGGCATTCTTTACAAAATTACTGTTCTGGTATGTTTTTCGATATGCTATATGTGTCTGGGTTTCAGTTGTTTAACTAAATTAATTTCATACAAGAATGAGCTACTGTGAGGTTTACATGTTCTCCGTTGATCTATTGTGTCTAACATGATTTCACTCTTTTAAATAATCATAACCTTCCAGGTGGCTTTGCTGGTATCTTCCTGCTTCCTTATGGAGCACCGATACATTAGCACTTTGCTTGCCCATTAGGGCAAAAAGATTGCAGTGCTGGAAGCTCCAACTTCCTTCTGGAGACTCCACTACAAATAATGTTGTGTGTTTTCAGTTGAGATGCAACAACTTCCTCCCAGGCTGCAACTCCTTTGATTCCTATCAGAAATAGATAGGAATCAAAGGAGTTGTGGCCTGGGAGGAAGCCGTTCAATCCGCTGAGGCTCTGCTGGAACCAATCTGCTTCATCATACCTTTAGTTGTTAAAAGATTTCGGAACTCTGTTTTTAATACTGTGAATGCCATTTGAAACAGGGACCAAAACACAACTGAAATAAAGCTATTTTGACAAAGCTATTTAGATCATTAACATTATTAACATTTTTGCCTTGTGCTATTAGACTCTCTGTGTGAATGAAGCCCTCTTATATCTCACTGGACTATCAATGAGGGATTCTGAGCCCTGGTAGTGAGAGTCATCTTGCTAAGGGGTCATTTAGAAGAATTATTCAACCAAGGCAAGAGGTTGCCTTGCATCTTGTGGCAAAACAACTGTTTGACTTGTATCATTTGCTAAAGTATCCAGTACTGTTGCCACCACCTATGTTTCTAAGCTAGGAACCTTCTTTTTCTGCTCTGCATGTACCTTGCATGAAAGGATACAAACTGATGAACAATTTGCTTGTCTTTGCAGGTCAGCCCTTTGCCCTGTATGCCTTACACTGCAGTGGCTTGTCATCATATTTGTAAGGATCAGTAAAATCAGATTTTTACAGATTTTTCACCAGAAACTCCACTTTTTTTGCTGATAGCCAATCATCTGAAAGACAGTTTACCGGCTGAAAACTTTTCTCCCTAATATGACTTCTAAGAAACAAATTAACCGATTTGTTTTCGGCATTTAAGATGGTGTGTGTAGGAGTTTCCAGGGTTGCTCCAGAACCAATTGATGAATTCTCTTGTGCACATGTGAGCAGATGCACACATGGTTATTAGGGAAAGACTAACCTCAGGTGTGCATCATAACCATACATGTTTATGTGTACTTTTATGCACAACTAGATCTTTTAAAGATGTGAGAGATAAGTCTGTACATCTGCACAGTGTAAAGTTAGAGATAGAAAAGATCATAGAAAGAGACACCAAATTAGAGATTCAGAGAAGGATAGAAAGAGCACCTCAGAGAGTGAGAGAGGCAGAGAAAGATTTTCACTGTTACTTTCATTGTCTCCTGATTTTGGACACAAAATAGACCCCCAAAAATACCCGGGCTTTTATTTTGTGGATGAAAAAAACAACATAATTGGAATTGAAGTACACGGTCTAATAGAATTACGGAACAGGCTTGAGGGGCTAGATAGCCTACTCCTGTTCCTATACTGCTATAACTTTAATGGTCCTTACACATTTCACTCAAACTTATGTGCAGGAAGTGCTAAAGTGAAGCAGGGGTGTTGGAGCTGTGCTGTGAAGTATGCCAATGATATAAAGTTTCATGTGACTTCCTCTCAGTATGACCAGTCTGAAGAAGCATACATGCAGACAGTATAAGGTGAAGCTTAGTATAAAGGCAGAATATGCCTTACCCACAGATCATCCAAATCTACCTCCAAAGAAGATATGGCCAAAGGCACTACTCTTCAAAATCATTTCCATAATAATAATGATGATGATAATAATTCTTGTATTTATTGTAGTGCCTTATCACATTGTCAAAACTTCTCAAAGTACTTCACTGGAGCTACTGTAAAGTGTAGTGACAGTTCATGTGTTTGTGAATGCAGCAGTACACAGCGATGTCCCACAAACAACTATGAATTGAATAATCAATCTTATCTGGAGAATTATTGGCCAACACACTGCGAAAAATCCCCTGTTTTCACTTTCAGACAATTTCCGGGATCTTTATTGTCTAGTTGAACTGGCAGAAAGGGTTGTGGCATAATGTGTCATTTGAAGGATGGCACCTCTGACAATGCAGGGCTCTATCAGCTCTGCATTGGTCAGCCTGGACTATAAGCTCAAAATCCCGATGTGGGGCAGGCGAGAGTGCCACTAACACACTACATGCAATGTAAATAAAAGGATTTTATAATGTGTACATGAAGCTGCAAGGAGCCATTCACTGGATCTGTTCAGCTAGTGGAAATGATGCTTTACTATGTGGAGTCCTGTAGCTCAGTGGTTAGAGCACTCGCCTTGCAAGCGAGACCCCTGGGTTCAATTCCAGGCAGGGCAAAACCGTGGGCAAGTTTCCTTACACCACACGCCTCATAATAATCCCTCCAAAAACAAAATCAATAATAAATTGGTCATTTTCAATCCACGACTGTTTGTGGGACACTTGGCTGCCGCGTTTCGCCCACAAATATACGGTCAAATCACTTTACAATCTATTCTGTGAAGTGCTTTGAGACATCGAGAAGACTTGAAAAGCGCTATATCAAATGCAAGGATTATTATTTACTGAAATCTGTTTGATTGAAACTTGAAGCTAAATATAACAAAGTGCAGTCAGGCGAATACACACTAACTGCTTTGTTATGTCAAATGGCAGCCCTGCGTCGTGTATCTTCTGCGACCAGTGACTGTTGCCAAAGCTGGAACAGCGATGCTCGCTTCAAAGAAAATATTGAGCCCAATTTAGCTGGTAATTGCCGAAAATACTGTTTAATAGAAACCGATTTATCTGCTGCCAGCTTGGCTTGGGAGGTGAGTGGCAGTTCACACATCCCTGCTGGAATATGCTAGGTGCTATTTAGCGATATTTGCAAACAGCATTCAAAGCACCAATTGTGACTTCCGTCTGGGAATTTTGAAATCTGTTCAGTTTGCTAAATTAGCAAAATGGAAATTGCCGTTTCTGAAAGCCGACAAGAAATGGAACAACAACACAACAAAAAATTACATTTATAGGGCGCCTTTCACGTCGGGAGGATGTCCCAAAGCGCTGGAAGAAAGTCTGGTGAGTGAAACGCCATTTTGCTCTTGGGTCTATTGATCAAGCTGCAGGGTTTGACTACTCTCCACGTTGCGAATATCTGAAATTAGACCCCGATTGATTGGGTTTGTTACGACGACCCGAAACTCTGGAACAACAACAACAAAATGACATTTATAAAGCGCCTTTCACATCGGGAGGACGTCCCAAAGCGGTGAACAGTCAGGAGTCGAGGCCCAAGCATAGGGGTGGGGGGGGTGGGGCAGGGTGTAGGGGTGAGGGAAGGCAGAGAGGTGGGAGGGAGACCAAGGGCACGGTCGAAGAGAAAGGTCTTGAGACCGACCTTGGAAGGAGGCAAGGGAGGAAGCGAGGCGGAGGGACCATGGGATGGAGTTCCAGAGTGTGGGGCAGAGAGGCTGAAAGCCCGGCCACCGATGGTAGGACGGGTTGGGCGGGAGACACTCTCCCTCAATCCCTCCACCTCGCCCCCTTGCACCCTCTCTCCACTTTTTCAAGTCCCACCTGACAACCTTCCTTTTCGACCGTGCTTACAGTCACCTCCTCCCCGCTCAACCACCCACCCCTAATTTATAAGCACCCTGAGACGCTACCCTGGGTGGAAGGCACTATGTAAGTGCAAGTTGTTGTCGTTGCCCTCTAGGTGGCATTCAATTGTGGAAAATTCTGTGCTAGTTTCAGAAGAACATAGATAAATACCTCCACACCTAGTGGAACTGTCGCTCAGTGGGTGGGGATGTGATGCTCTGTGTTGTGTTAGTTTTGAGCTTGTTCATATTCTCTGAAATGTTCTAGAATGTGCTTAAGGTGGTTTGTCCCTAGCAACCGTGGTTAGGTGTTGTGCAATGCAGTATGTTAATTAGCTAACTAATTCGGACTTTAGATGTAATCATTGCACAATGCGTTAGTGTTAAGAGCGTGAGAAAGGTATTTGTTG